GTCATCTTGAGGCTCAGGCTCAAGAATGGTGGCCAAAACGTCCAAGCCAGGAGGAGGCGGGTCAGAACCCAAGCGGCTTGTGTGATGCTCGAGCCACGTCAAGTTGCTGTGGATGAGGAGGAGGAAGGTTTCCGGGTGTAACCCATTTTTTAAGCACAAGGCTTTGGCGGCCTCAATGTGTGGGAGTGGAGCCATACCAGAGATGGAGAAATCATAGCGCATGGCCAGCTCGCGGTGAGTGCGCTTGTCTGCCACCATAGCGTCCAGGAGATTGTGCATGGTCTTCTCAATGGTCGCCTCATCGCTGAAGCCATCAAATAGATCCGGTGGGAAGGTTGCCTTGGCGAATTCCTGGATCGTCTCCGCAGACATCACCTTGTCGCAAAAAGCTTCAGCCGGGTCCCTATCCGATTTCAAGGCAGCTGCAACGGTGGCATCCGGCAGGCTGAAACCAAAGTCCGCGTCTTGCACAATGTGTTCGTCATGCGGAGTGGACAGCTGGGAATTTGGAAGGTCTTGTGTTCCTGGGGATCTTTCAGCTTCAAGATGCATTGGACCCGCTTGAGAGGGCTGAGTTGCTGGCACTTCTTTCTGCGTAGCCACATGAACCGCAGGGGCACAAATGCACCGGCAGGTCGGACATGTGACACTAGCCTCCCAATTTCGTAGCTTGCACAACCTGCGGCAACAATCCTGATGCATCATGTGTCCACATTCTAAGTCCAGCCGGATCTCACCCTCCTCAAACTCTAGGGTGCACACTGCGCACGCCATAGCTGGAGAGAATGTTCAACTAAGGAGCGGCGCCAAAGTACAAATCCGTAGTTCATATTGTCATGTGGTAGCGTATCTGCTCATGGATATTGAAACATGCTTTGACTCATGGACTACCATGTCACCATGTCTATAGATTCCAGGACCTAAACTTTCTGAGCCAGGAGCAGTGCACCATTATTGACTCAACTGAGTTCGTGATGAGGGGCTGGGCCGTGCCCTGTCCCCGACGCTGGGCCGTGCCCTGTACTGCCTGCTGGGCCGTGCCCTGCTGGCGAATGGCATCCATGCTCGCGTTACGCGCAGGCGCCGAAAGGGAGGGTACCGGCATTGAGAGGGAAAAGGAAAGAGATGCGTCGGATAAACAAAGGGAGGCTACGGGAGCGGATAGGAAGACTCTTATTGCGGAATGTCGTGATGAGGGGCTGGGCCGTGCCCTGTCCCCGACGCTGGGCCGTGCCCTGTACTGCCTGCTGGGCCGTGCCCTGCTGGCGAATGGCATCCATGCTCGCGTTACGCGCAGGCGCCGAAAGGGAGGGTACCGGCATTGAGAGGGAAAAGGAAAGAGATGCGTCGGATAAACAAAGGGAGGCTACGGGAGCGGATAGGAAGACTCTTATTGCGGAATGTCAAGCTATGAGCGCGTCCACCAGGGACCATCACATGGCTGTCTGGTAGCATGAAACTAAGGCGCGGTGCCTGAACGATCATCTTCACAACATTATTCCTGTACTCTGGCGCAAGATCAGGCTTGAGCAACACGCGGCACGGATGAACGTACTTGAATGTACAATATACCAGGTACCAATCTTCTTTTCTGCTGCTTCTTGCAAAGTTTTCATCAATCGATCGATATTTGTCTTTCCCACCTGTGCCTGTGCCTCATGCATCAACTGGCTGGCAACCAAACTGCCTTGGGAGCGTGGGATCGCCTGGCAAGGCGAGCCGACGTGGGCCCCAAATGTTGCAAAGAAGCAAACGATGCAAGCAAGCGCACATCCTCAGGAGCTGCTCTTTCTGCGGCACCTGACATGCGAAACCCACAAACACAGCCAACAGCTTCTTGCAAGAGTGTGGTCAAGAAATGATGCTCAGAACAGAACGGGGCCTAGCGATGGGTCCTGACCAGGCACTGAGTCTGCAGCTGGATCCTCAGGGAGCAAAAGAATGAGTGTCATTCTGCAACTACGTTTACGCAGCGTTTACAGAACAGTGACCAGAACACAGCACTCAAGTGCGTACGGTACGTCAAATCCAGCAGTGAAGCAGTGACAAATCCAACAGCTGGCAACGACCCTCTGCCCAAGTCTGATGTGGTTCGCTGGAAATTGGGGAATGTACACTGCCAGTCACCTAGAGGCTGTTCTGACATGCCAGGTCGCATGTTCAGCTGGAACACAGTGATTGATGACTGGAACACCTTCCTCCAAAGCTCTGCCACTTTGAAAGCATTGACGGACATGGCTTTCACACACTGAAAATGAATAAGCGTTGACTAGGAAAGGTGTGTCTAGACGTTTAGAAATTGCATGGTTGAATTTGCTTGCTGAAAAGGAAAGGCGACTTTGCTTGCTGAAAAGGAAAGGCGACTTTGCTTGCTGAAAGTGAATGTCTGGCTGTGTGGCCTAGTGACAGAGGCCAACCACTTGCTGTGAGCCTATATACGTATAGTCCTTGGGAAAATCGACTTGGAATTGGCAGGTTGAAACTAACATGCCACTTTCAGCAAACTCAAAAAAAATCGAAAAATGGAAACTAGGAAATATGTGGTAAATATATCATCCAGATTGTTGAGAGAAATTGTCTTGATAATATAATGTTTCTTTTTATGGTTCTTTAGAGAGGTATCACTGTTCTGAAGTAACTGTTATTGTTCAGGAATACCTGTGGTGGTGTCGTCGTACCCTCTTTATTCAGGGGTCATCGGATCTGGCCAACGCTGGTCAAGTAGCTTGTCACGTCCACCGACGAAAAAAGAACACAAAGACAGGCAAGCATGTGTGTATGTCTGTATGCGCGAAAAGAATCCGTGCGAACCGGTGCGAACCGGTGCGAACCGGTGCGAACCGGTGCGAACCGGTGCGCATCAAATACCGGACGCGCGCGATGTTACAATGGTTTGCCGAGAAGATCAGACCAGCAACAATTCCCAAAAGCGCCAAGCCTGATGATTATTTAAATGATGGTCAGGTGCGAGTTCTCCGAGCGATCAACGGCAGTTTGAACTGGATTGCTTCGCAGTCCAGACCAGATGTAGCTGTACAGACCAGCCTCTCTCAGCAAGCATTTCCAAGGCCGCAGATCCGCCATCTCCGTGATGCAAACAATGCAGTTCGACGTGTGAAACAACACAAGGATCTTCAAATCAAGTTTCAACCAATTCCAGTGGAGGATTTGTGCATAGCTTGTCACTCAGATGCCGCCTTTGCAAATGTAGGCTCTCATACTCAGGCAGGATACATCATAGCCTTTTGTGAAAAGAAGATCCATACTGGAGAAGTATCACACTGGACTCCTGTCACATGGAAAAGCTATAAACTGCCTCGAGCTGTGAGCTCAACCCTGGGCGGTGAGAGCCAAGCGATGTCAACCGCCTCGGGCACAGTAGAATGGTTGTCTCTTCTGCTGACCGAAGCTTTGGACGGCCGTTTTGAGGTCCGACAGTGCAGGTCCCTGCTGGCCAAGCGACCTCCGGTATTGGCCACTGATTGCAAGTCATTATATGACCATCTAATATCACCATCCTCACCTACAGCAGTTGATGATAGGAGAACAAGTATTGACATTGTAATCATCAGGGAATCCATCAAACTGACAAATGCTCAAATCCGTTGGCTCCCCACAAACCGTATGATCGCAGACGGACTCACCAAAGACAAAGCAGATCCAATTGACTTGTTGAGGTCATGCGTGCGAGCCGGGACTTACCAGATTTCTCCAGAGGAATTTGTCCTCGCGCAGCAAGCTGAAGAACGCGCTCTCCGAGCACAAAAACGCCAGAGTGTAGGTCCCACCGAGGATCATCTGGGGGTAACAGATGATAATCCAAAATAAAAATCAGATAACGTAAAAGTAAATAAATGAGAGGGGCATTACTCAGGTAAAGCATGTAAGGGAAAGAGAGCATGATATGTTTCTCCGAAAGATCACACAGCTGCCTTTGCAATTGCCTTCGTGTCACATCCAAGAACCAGTCATCAGTTGATTGTTCTTTTCATTTCAGAGTTTCGGCCAAGTCAGACCACGAGAGGTGAGTGTACAGCAGTTAGTTTTTGGGTGCGTTTTCCGTGTGTTCGAGATGGCTTCCCAATCAGCGCCGTTGACCGCCGCTGAATCTCAGCAGTTGCAAAAGCTGCTGGCAAAGGCCAAGTCTGCTGCCTTGCCCTCTGGCAGCACTGTGAGCTTTCCACGTGTTGAGCCGACCTATGATCCAGCTACTGGATTGGTGTGCCACCATGAGTTTGGCCTGTGTGAGAATGTTTGGGATGCCGCTGAGCTCTGGGATGAATCAGAGCCTGAGATCTATGGAACCATGAGTGATGCTGCCAAGCGCCGTGAGGCTGATGAGTGCCCTCCGGCTGAGCATCACCCCAAGCGAGTCACCATGGCCACTGGCCGCACCCCTACTGGAGATTCTGTGATGTATGCCCCTACCAGGGTTGCCATGCCATATCCCTCTGGCACCACGGAGGACCAGTTGCCAGTGCATCACTTGCCGGCATTTCCTGATGGCATCTCCGATGTAGAGACTTGGGGTCGCACCATGATTGCGTTCGGGATGTTTGACAAGACCAAGACCTCCTACATGGCTTTGGTGACATCTTCTGATGAGCGCAAGATCGCCTATGTGAAATGGTGCCGATCTCGCAAAAATGCCAAGGGCCAGCTCAAGGATCTCTGTGATTTTCTCATGCACTATTTTGCCGATGAGTCTGGAAGCCAAACTGGCGTGATGATTCCGGGCACCAATCAAGCCCGAGTGCTGATGCCGTGATCAAGGTCAACTGAACCGTGATGTGCTCCTTGCCCAATGAAAGATCTGGAAGTTTACAAAGATAGAAAATATAGAAGATTATAACCAGTCTTAAAGCCACCAGCATGAGCGCCAATCACCATCTCACCAGTTGTCAGGGGACAACTCTTGTGCGTCGCAGGGACACCTATCTGCTCAGGCGAGAGAAAAGGAAGCCCGTATGTTGGACACTGGGTTGTCCAAAGGTTTGGAATCAGCTACCAATTAACATAAATATATTAATCGGCTCTACCCCCAAATATCTATAAATCAATGGATTTTCGGGGTCCCCAACTCCCCCAAAAAAATTGCTGCCGAGTCTCTGCAGCTTCTTGGTGCCCGCCGGCACCGGCGTCACGCGCAGGCGCGGCACGCTACGCTCGCCGGCGATGTAGGCCACCTGGCGCACGTCGGCGCGGGGTCGGGGCCTGGTGCAAACATGTGGTTACAAAAAAAATGTGTACAATTATCCCACAATATGATATATCCCATATACAACTATACAAATATATCCCACAATAACTCCAGATATGTGTACAATTATTTGCAAACATGTGGTACTTAAATATATCCCACAATAACTCCCATTCTGCATCATACAATATCATTACTACACATAATGTACATATATATATATATATATCCAAATCTGTATAATCATTATAATCCCGATTAAGTAGTCCTACTTGTAGTTGCAACCGATGAATATCCCAGAAAAATCACAGTCTGACGACTCGACGTCTGTGTGAAGAGCTGGGCGTTGGAAGACCTGGATTCCTCTAAAAAGTAGTGATCCTCAATGTCTATGATGTCTATGTCCGTTCAGACCTGCAAAGTCTAAACCTTGACAGATCGCAAAACTCGGTTTAAGTCATCGAGTGTTTAAGTCAGTTTCGTCATGGTTCTTCATATCATCCAAGTCTGTTGGACATGATGGAAAACTACATGAACTGGTAATCCAATTGATGAAATATGATGAAATTGGCAACAGTAGCTTTTAAACAATCCTTTTCTTTTTGGGTTTTCATTTCAAACTTGAGAGGAGCCCAGGAGCCCAGGCCTCAGCTTGCTCTGCTGCCCTCTCCTCATCACTGGACCAAGTGTTGAGTCCTGCCAGTTCCTTGGCATCTGCTGAGCCTCTGGGACTGGAGTTTCATGTACCCTTGGAATGCAATAGGTGGATTGATCGGATCAAAAAAGGCCAGTTGAGATCATCTTCCTTTGAGGGAATGTTATTTTTTGGGTGGGGAAGCCAACTCGAACAATCAACCTCACCCTTCCGGACGTACGAACCATCCTTGGGGGGGTAGAAACCATGCCCGCCCCTTGCAGCGGGGCTTCCACTGGCAAAAGCTCCGCCAGAGACTGGTCTGCAGGCAGGTCGATGGTCTTCAGCTGCACGTGTGGCACTTCCTCACTGCATGGCATCCAGGTCATGCAAAAGGTGTTGGCCTCAAAAAATAGCATCCTTGCGAGATGATTTGGGGGCCTTACATAACCTGTCAACACAGGTTTGGTGGCACAAAGTCAATAACACAAAGCAAGAAATCATGATATACATCCATTGTCATGGTGGTACAGTACACCTTCGGGTTAGGAACCCACAAATCCAGCGCCCATTGGAAAACTCAGTGCCAGAAATGACCTTCTCTATATAGCCTCTTTCAGTTCACCTGCAAAGTTGCTACCCTATCATACCCCATCATACCCTATCTACCATTCTCCCTTTTTCTTGGTTGCCTTGATGATTCCGCTGCACTTTCCCATTTTTCGCAGCAAGCTTCCAGCCGCACGGAACGTCCGAAGCCCCACACCGCAGCACCCAACACGCCGCGGGCCATGGATTCGCCGCTAACGGCAGACTGGGCACCGCTGGTCAGCAGGGCCAACTTGATGGCAGGCCGGGAGGTGAGGCCTGGAGCTGCAGAAAATGGGCAAGAAAAACTAATTAAATGGCCATTTATAGTGAGTTTTCCCATTAAAAATGGTGATTTTCCATAGTTATGTTAGTTTACCAGAGGGTAAATCAACTGCAAGATGGGAGTTGATGAAACACCAGATTCAGATTGATTGGACTAACATGAGATCGGCTCTGCATCTACCTGCTTCCCTGGAATCCCCTTCTCGACTGACCGTGCACCTTGAACCAGGCGCAACAACGCAGCCAAGGTTGGACCTGAGGTTGCAGCACAAACGACAGGACAAAATGCCAGAAGTATCAGAAATCAGTTCACATCTCATCATGTCCAGATCCGAAGTCTAGATACTTTATGAAACTATCACTAGATCATGGTGACGTGCAGGGTGCAGGGTGCCCCCCATCTGACTGAGTCCGGTCCCCATCTGACTGAGTCTGACTGTCTGATGAAAACACAATCCAGTCTCAGAAGACGGATTCGCGAAGTAGAAATAACTCAATATCAATGGCCAGCGAAATCCCCCACAGGATGATCAACAATCAACTTTTGAGGGTTGAAACCATGGTTTCCCATGGTTTCCTCCTTCAGACACACCCATATGTCTGAAAATAGTGTACCCCTAAAGCCAATGGTTAATGATCATTATCCCTATTAAATGGCTATTTCATTGGGAATATACCCTATTTTCAGACACACCCATATTAATATCACACACCTCCCCCGAGTGCTGAACCAGAGCCACCCCTCCCATCGCCCACCTTCCAAGGTAGCATCCTCTGCCTGCAGAGCCTCCGCAAAGACGAGGCACGACCAGGACTGCTCTGACAGAAGCCTGGCGCCACGAAACCACGGTGATTGGCTTGGCGGTGGATCTGTGCACTTTGAAAATCAAGAAATATTTGTTGGTGAAAGTGACACATCTGAAAGATGCTATTGAAAATACATATATATATATATTGTATATATATATATAGTTTACTATAATTTAACATTGACTCTCTCTCTCTCTCTGCAATAATTAATTAATATATATATATATATATTATATGATGTATATAATTTATATAATTAATATATAATATGCAGATATTATATATTTATGTATTACCATTTCAATCCATTTTATGGAAATGAATCTTGAACTGTTGAACAAGTGGAAACTGAAAACTTCTGCAAGTCTTCCAACCTGGGTACTCAATAATTACTGTTCCACCAACCCCTAAAATGTTGGCCGTCTGTGGGGAACAAGATCTCCTCCCTGCCCTGAGATGCCCTGAGGCCACTGGTCTCGCCAAGCAACTTGTCGACCTCCGCTGCACTGGCCAAACGGTCCATGCCCACAACAGTGGCCTGAGGCGGAACCCCGTGAAAAATACAGGTCAATTCCTGTGAGATTCCAGCCATGTGGATAGAAAATCAAAGAAAATTTGAAGTTGAAGCCATCAAGACCTCTGACAATGTGAAGACATCATCGCTCGGCTAGATCCCCAGAACGTGCCTAGTTGCATATCTAATACCTGTAATTACATACCCCAAGGGCCCCAAGTGCAGATGGTGTAGTTCACGGCCCCCATCCTTTCAGGATAGCCGAAGCAGCCAGCATTGCCCAAGCCCCATGAAACCGGCCTTCGGCAGCACCTTTGCGGCGGCATCTGCGACAGTCTGACCGCCCCCCAGCACCAGCCAGTCCTGCTACAGCCGGGGAGAGAACCCCCAGCCTTTGGCTGTGCGCAGACGTCCAATGAACAAATCATGGATAGTATATAGGCCCAGCCCCAAATATGCTCCTTTTTAGGGTTTCACTCTCGCACGTGCTTCTATACTCTATACTATCCGTGTTTTCAAGATCTATAAAACATCCAAACACCATTAAACAACTTAAAACGGAGCCAGGCCTCTGCCGCCACAGAAGTCTCTGTAGGACTTGCCACTGATTGCCAGGAGATGCCCCACCAGAGCCTGATTTCCAGAGTTTTTGCGTGGGAAGAGCTAAAGAAAAATGTGGAACTCCCATGGGTTCATGGGATGCCACCCGATTTGAAGACAGTTCTCTTATTTTTCATGATCTTTGTCAGGTACTTGAAGTGTGGCGATCGTATTTCTCTGTCACATTTTGGACAACTGGAAACAGGACACTGGGAGCAAATTTGGAAAGTGTCTTGTGCAACAGGGTTTCAATTGCTCAAAGGACCATCAACATGTCTTCTTAGCCAGAGGCACTGCTTCGCCCAGTCCTTGTAGGACCTAAGTTTGCCATCGTGGCAAATACGACACAGGTTGTCGGGGGCGCCAACCAGGATCAACACTTGAGACATCTGTCTCTACAAGCCTGATACGCGTGGCTCAAAGACGTAAAAACACAATCCACCCACCTATCCTACAACACAAGGTCCAGGTTTTTGGCACTTGCTTTGTGCATGTGCTTGAACAAAAGACAGCACATCTTCATGCCCAACCCAAGATCCCAGTATCGTGTCGATAGCATTATCCGAAAACACCACACATGTCTACCACCCGCTACACGCAACGGTTATGTCAACGGTTTGCTATGGTATAGATGGCTCAGCTGATGGATGAAATACAAGTTAAAGTAATGGTGATGTTTCAGTTCGCAAATGTCTGTCTGAACATATGCTATACCCGATACACCACTTAATAATATATAAAATCATTATATTATATATTAATTATAGCCACTGAAGAATAGGGAATGTGACTTTTTACCATCAACATTTGGGGTTTTACCATGTTCAATGCCAAGCCCCAGTCAAATCCCCATGGGCCGAGTCGCAAGTCCGTTCGGCTCCAGGTCATCATTGGCCGCTCCGCCAGCTGTTGCAGCGTGGCGTCCAGCTCCGAGTCCGGCGCCTCCTGCGACGGGAGGAAGCACTGGGCACTGGCTGATGAGTTTGAAAGTTAACTAGACTATCAGTTAACTGATCAGTTTCAAGTCTCATTTTTTTGAAGGTTGATTAATGTTAATTAATCTTAAACTCAACGTAAGTAGACTAATTATCCAACTCTGGGGCTCAAGAATGTTTGGGCATGTCTTGGCCTTATTTGAGCCACATTCAAGTAAAGGAAATCGCCAGAGCCATTGAGCTTGGCCCTTAAGCGCCCCCTAAAGCCAAACCCCCGGCAAGAGCAGCCCCGCGAAGCGGCTGCCTGAAGGTTCACGTGGGAGTTGGTTCCACTGAAACCAAAGGAGCTAATACCAGCGCAGCGGCTGCCAGCCACCTTCCAATCCATCAGCTTGTCCTTCCCAAAAGGGCGGCTAGAGATCTATGATGCCTATGATTCCATCTTTTCGTTGGGGATGTTCCTCAAGACAAGCGAGAATAGTGGTTGAGTAACATGTTTGCAAAACCGGGGCTGGGGGTATGCAAATTTGAAGTTTGAGATGATGATCTACAATGATCACCAACCAGCGGTCTAGGCTCGCTGACATAAACCGAAGCAGTGGCAAATGGGAAGGACATCCGCTGAACCAAGAGGTCCATGTGAATCAGTGTAAACATGCCAGGCTAGGCCTTGATGACACGAAACAAAACTGAAAATCGGTAGATTCCTGGGTTTCATGTTTTGACAATTTTGACACAAGATGACACAAGTATCTCCGCTACACCTCTCCAAACTCTCATTCCGGCATTGATCAAAAGCCCACTATCCAAACCCATGCCACAGTCCGGAATGCAGCAAGCGAAGTTGGAGAGATCAATGTTTGGATTCAACTTTTTGAGATGCAAATTGGGTGGCACCGTCCTCAGTTGCTCAGTTGCTCAGATCACCGAGCCACCTAAAGATTGCACCACCTACACCAATGACATGAATTGTAAGGGTGGCATGTTTGTTCATAGGCTATTGATGACACGAATCATTGAAAAGTATGTCTCATATAGTACTGACATAGGAAACTCCAAAACCAGTTTTGCATTCTTCCAAAAACATGCAAAAATCACCAGCTGAACACAGGAAAACAGAAAGCCGATGTTTGGAAGGAAGTCGGAGAGCAACTGTCTTACATGCAAAGCATATACTAAATCTAACAATGCTATCATCGACTATGATAGAACTGCTGCAGGTAAAGGCTGCAATATGATGAAGAAGGTGCATACCAAAAACAAACCCCAAAAAAATATAATTCATCCATGTTCATCATTCATCCCCAAAAATATGGTATACATCCTCTGGGTTGCCAGAGGGTATATAAATGGACTAGAATCTCCATCGTTGATTGTGAAAATCCCACTAAATCCCATAAAATCACCCTTAAATCTCATGAAATCCCATTAAAATCACCATAAATTCACCATTCAATCTCATACAATACCATAAAAATAAACATGAATTCACCATTCAATCTCATAAAATCCCATTAAAATCACCATAAATTCAACATTAAAAAAATCCCCAAAAAACATGACCATTGATGATGGCCAGCCGAGCCACTTGTGCTCGAGCATCTTCACCAGTTTGGTGATGCCGGCGACGCCCGCTGCGCCTTCCAGGTGCGCGATGACCGATTTGGAGGCCGCCAGAATCAGCTGATCTTGGTCGGCACGGTCCTGGTGAGCAACACGAGGGATGTGGGGATTCAGTTGGGGACTATATATACTATAATATAATGTATAATTATTATATATACAATATTATATATATATATGATATTATATATATATTATATATATTATATATATAATAATATATATATATATGTTATACATGATATATATATGATATATATATGATATATATATGATACATATTATATATATGATATATATGATATATATTTATAAAACATATACACATAAGTGAATGTCAAACTCAATACCTCCAAAAGTGCAGAAACGCGAATCGCTAGAAAGGTCGCTTCCACTCATGTGGCTGCTGCGGTCCTTGCCATAGATTTTCTCTTGCGCTCCCACTTCAATCGGATCTCCCAAGGCGGTACCTGACACATCACAATCCACCGTTGGGAGAGCAAGATGAAATGATTGTATGATCATTCAATGGATTGGTTTAAGGGAAAATTTACAGGAAACCATGGTTTTTACCATCAAATATAGGGGTTTCCTGTAATTTTTCCCATCATCCAGTTCCATGAATCATTGTAGTAATGAACTATGATGATGTTAATCCACTACTATCATTATTTTCCCTGTGTGGATTCTTGTCACTATTCTTGTAGTCACTACTATAATGGTCACCATTATTAGTGTTATCATTATTTATTGCTATTACTATGATTATCATTATCATAGTTATGTTTATCATTATTATTTTACTTATATTATTTGTGTCATTATTATCATGATCATCATTATTACTATTTATATCATCATTAATGATAATCCATTATTATCATGTGGGTCACCAATAATGATATAAAGTAGTTAATACTGTTGGTTATTACCATCATATATATCAATCATTAGTGTTGGTTATTATCATTGCTATGACAATCCATTATTATGATCATTATTCTTAGCGTCATGATAACATCATGATCATCATTAATCATTACTATTTATATCACTATACATTGTTATGACAATCGATTGTTATCATCAATAGTTATCCATTAACCATTGTTATAACCATATTAATATCAATAACAATCCATAGTTATCAATAACAATCGATTACATTGTTATCATCATTGATGCAGCAACATGTGGGTCCCAGTGCTGCAGTTGCATATGGCGCCTGTTCCGTGGCACTCCACCAGGGAAACCTCCAAGGCGGACCTGGAGGCTTGGAACATAGGAGCAATGAAAACCTGAAGCCTCTGCTTATTTAACATAGCTATGGAAAATCACCATTTTTAATAGGTAAACCATCTATAATTTTGCCATCTATACCATTATTTAACATAAGCTATGGAAATGGATCATTTATAGATGATAAAAAATATAAAATAAAATAATGATTTACCTATGAAAAAGATGGTGATTGTTCCATAGCTACGTTAAATGACCAAAGGGATCCAAAGATATCCAAAGGGTATCTTCTCAACTTGCAGGGAAAAGGTGGCAAAAGTATCAATCAATTGTTCTTGGATTTGTTTAATCAACTGGAAACATGGAGCATACTCCCGAAGGAGCCGATCCCACAACCACTTTGGTATCAGAATGAGGTCCTTCGCGATCCATTGACCTTTGACCTTTGCTGTCAGTTGATCCTGTTCGCAACACTTGGCGTTTCAACAAGGGGGATCTCAGAGTCTGTGGCAGACCTCCTTAATAACGCATGTTTCTTAACTTGGTAGGTCTTAGACCTTTCCCATACTCATCACAGTGTGGGATTATAAACCACAAGGTGCATTTCATCTTCCATAAAAACCAGATGGAAGATGTCGGAATAGATCATGTGCTACATATGAACCATAACCCTGATTGACCATTGGGAATACCCATTCGCTCATTTTCTTCCCCACGGGAACCCAAGCTGGCCCTTTCTCCAAGAAGCAGCTCCGAGTCCCGCAAGGAGTTCTGCAGGGCGCGCTGCTGTGCAGGTCCCGAGGGGGCTGTGATGGTGGCCGAGCGACCATCCTGTTCCATGAATGACACTGAGGGCTGGCAACCACATTCCCGTAATTGGTGTTCTACGGGTTTCCATTGGAGTTTCCATGAGTTTCTATGGGTTTCCATGGATTTCCTTTTTTTCCTATGGGTTTTACGATGTTTTATGGGTTTCTTCATCCGCTGTCACCATATTCTGCCAAATACCCCCAACATCTGACGCCTGGTTCACGCAGCTTCCACGGGTCAAGGTCAACGCCGTCTCGCCCTTGGCACCGGCTGCAGCCCTGAGGCGGAGGATCACCTGCCGAGGCTGGATCTGGAGATCTCCGGGATGATCTGGGGTGTTCTTATCCTCTGGTAATTTGTTACGTAGCTATTGAAAATGACCATAGAAATAGTGGATTTTCCCATTAAAAATTGTAATTTTCGATAGCTATGTTAGTTTACCAGAGGGTATCCTCTGGTAAACCAACAGTTTGCGACATAGAAAATGGCCCAATGGCCATAGAAATAGTTGATTTACCCATGGAAAAATGGTGGATCTTTCCATATAGTTTACCAGAGGGTAACACATTTCACTCACCCGAAACAAGGTGATTTTGAGATGACTCCCTATACTAACCATCATTGTGAGGTCGCAGTGATGTCTTTATAATTTACCCACGGATCATGAAGATCAGTTCGTAACTCATAATATATTTGATGTATCCTAGGTGTGATTGGCATAAAATGATGATACAAGAAATGTTTCTGGAGATAAGCCGCTGATATAGTAAGCTTTTGTGAAATAAGTTGAATGATGAAACACACAGTGTGTACTGTGTATGTATATATATATATATGCCCATAGTGTTATTAAACCATTATATTAGGCTTATTAGACCCAGTTATATACCATATTATAGCAGTATATAACTGTATGTATTTACCCTAATATTATTCATCTATCCGCATATATATATATGGGTGTGTATGAAAATGAAGTATACCCATGTTCACAGCCATTTCAATGGTACAAATGTCAGCGATATACCGTCAATACGGTGTAACTCTAAGAATTCTAATAGATAAAGATAAAGATACAATTATGGTTAAATAGCGTCAGGTCAAGACCTTGATATGGCCATATATCGTTCAAATAGTTCAATATGCACTTTTCAGACAGTGCTTGGTGAAGATACTTAAAGATATGCGTTTGATATTTTAGTTCAGTAGAAAGGTAAAGATAGTTTAACAGGCACCATTTCTTCACATATATTTTTCATAGTTCACCTATACTGACCTATATGTTTACCTATACCAAAGCCCCCTTAAAAAGACACGCGTTTCTTAAAATGGGGCATCCCCAAGTCACTGTGTGTTTCAATACTAACATGGTTTAATGACTTGGATGATTTGTGGGTATCCCCATTTTAGAAAACCTCCATATCAGCAATTATAGCCTAAGTATATCCCAAGAGCCAAATCGTATGATTTATCATCCCATTATATCCCCCAAATAGATACCCTCTGGTAATTGAACATAGCTATTGAAAATGAATGAACATGACCATTTAGTTCGTGGATTTACCTACAAAAATTGGGGATGTTCAACAGTTATGTTAGTTTGCCAGTGGGTAGCATCCCATTATTATCCCATTACGATCATCCCAGTATCATTATTATTATTGCTATTCTGGTTGGTGGTTTTAACCATCTTGAAAAATATTAGTCAATGGGCAGGATTATCCCATATATTATGGAAAATAAAAAATGTTTGAAACCACCAACCAGTTATTGTTCTTATCCCATGATTTTCCCATGAAAATCCCCAAATTGATCGCCTTTAAACCTGGCACTCCCCCGGTCGCTGCGCCCGAGGTACCGCCCCGGAGCCCTCCGAGCGCCCGAAGCCGTCCGCGGAGGCGTCGAAGGTCTTGCAGCGACCGTCCCCAGCCAGGCCCGTCATCTTGCAGAAACCAACCCACCTGGGCCCCGGTGAAACGCGGAAAAACCATGGAGGACTTCCAGTGATTTCAGATGTAAATCGCCAGAAAATACTGTGGATGGTTGCGAAATCCCACTTGAAAACGGTGGTTTATCATAAGTAAATCACCTAAGTCATCACCTAAGTCATGGAGGACTTCAGTAAGTCGGGGGGGCCAATAGCTGGATGGTTTATTTTTTGGAAACTCCGAAAATAACATGGATGATTTGTGGGTACCCCCATTTTGGAAAACCTCCATGTATAAATCACCAATAAGCTGGAAAAATGATGAAAGATGTGAATTTAACAGGTGCAAATGGTTAAAAGAAAAACTTACAAAAAAATGGGATTGCTTAGATCCATTTACCCTCTGGTTATTTAACATAGCCATGGTATAGATCGCCCATTTATAGATGATTTTCCCAGCTATAAACCTCCATTGATGGTTGGGATTTTCCAGTTCGCTACAGTATGTTAAATAACCAGATGGGGATCGTCCCAATTCTTGTTGCTGAAATCCCCATGATGATCTCCGAATCTCCAATCTGTTGCCGCACGAATGATCCAATCTGTTGCCGGACTTTTTTTTTTCCTTCAAAGAGAAGCTTTGGAGGTTTCAGCAGCAAATTTCTGGAGCAAAAAAACAGTGTTTTTGATGATAATCAAAAATGAAGGCCCCAGGGCTCATCTGAGATAATTAAGCAACATGTTACCTACTAACTGGGTCTGACATATTGGTCACGGTGGTATTCGGAAACTGGCGAGTGGTATTCGGAAACTGGAGGTGGTATTCGGAAACTGGTATTCGGAAACTGGAAGTGGTATTCGGAAACTGGACAGTGGTATTCGGAAACTGGACAGTGGTATTCGGAAACTGGAGAGTGGTATTCGGAAACTGGGAAGTGGTATTCGGAAACTGGTATTCGGAAACTGGAAGTGGTATTCGGAAACTGGAAAGTGGTATTCGGAAACTGGGAGTCGTATTCGGAAACTGGAAAAAGGTATTCGGAAACTGAGATTGGCATTTGGAAACTGATTTAATTGGAAACTGGAACCCCGTAGTAACAGGTAACGTAGCAACGATCCCAGAGATCTCAGCAGCGTAGTAACAAGTAACGTAGCAAGGTCCCAGAGATCCCAGCAGCGTAGCAACATGTAACGTAGTTTTAGATCCCACAGATCGTTGCAGCGTAGCACACGATAATGAACGAAGCACAAGGAACGTTGACATGCCCCCCCACCTACCCACCCACCCCCCCACCCCAACCCCACCCCACCATCATCAGCGTAGTAACAGTACGTAGCAAAACGTCCCAGAGATCTCAGCATGTAAAGCACACTATAACGTACTAAGTTCAAGAACTTGACAGCCCCCCCCCTACCCCCACCTAAACCCGATCAGGGCAGCTTAGTAAACAGTAACGTAGCACGAGCCCAGGATCCCAGCGAACATAGGAACAAGCACGTAGCCAACAATCCCGGAATCTCGCAGCGTAGTACCACTTAACTATATGATTCAATTCGAGGGCGTGTACCCACGCAAGTGTACGGATATCAACTCTTTGGGCAGGTTTTACCCCTAACTCGGCACTTATATAGGCCAGAGGAGGTGGCAGTTTTGATCCCTCATGAAGTTAAGTTCAAGTCAAGACCCTATTCATCGTATTGGCCAGAGGGGATGGCGGTTTTGATCCCTCATGAAGATAGGTTCAAGGTAAGATCCTATTCAATAAGTTTCGTTAAGCGTTAAGATCCTATTCAATGTATGGACCAGACGGGGTGGCAGTTTTGATCCCTCATGAAAATAAGTTCAAGTGAAGATTTTATGCATCGTATTGGCCAGAGGGGGTGGCAGTTTTGATCCCTCAGGAAGTCAAGTTCAAGTTCAGATCCTGTTCATAGTATTAGCCAGAGGGGGTGGCAGTTTTGATCCCTCCTGGAGAAAAGTTGAAGTTAAGATCCTATTCAATGTATGGGCCAGAGGGGGTGGCAGTTTTGATCCCTCCTGGAGAAAAGTTGAGGTTAAGATCCTATTCAATGTATTGGCCAGAGGGGATGGCGGTCTTGTCCCTCATGAAGATAAGCAACAAAAGTTAAGATCCTATTTATCGTATTGGCCAAAGGGGGGTAGTTTTGATCCCTCATGAAGATAGGTTCAAGGTAAGATCTTATTCAATAAGTTTCGTTAAGATCCTATTCAATGTATGGGCCAGAGGGGGGTGGCAGTTTTGATCCCTCATGAAGATAAGTTCAAGTTAAGATCCTATGCACCGTATTGGCCAGAGGGGGTGGCAGTTTTGATTCCTCATGAAGATAATTTTCAGTAAGATTCCATTCATTATTATTGCCAAGGGGGTGCAGTTTTTGATCCCTCCTGGATCAAAATTTGAAGTTAAGAAGATCCGATCAATGTTAATGAGGGCCAGCAGGGGGTGGCAGTTTTGAGCCCTCCGGAGAAAGTTGGAGTAAGATCCGATTCAATGTATTGGCCAAAAAGAGGAACAAAAAGTAGGGGGTGGGAGTCGGTTTTGTCCCTCATGAAGATAAGTTCAAGTTAAGATCCTATTTATCGTATTGGCCAGAGGGGGTGGCAGTTTTGATCCCTCATGAAGATAGGTTCAAGGTAAGATCCTATTCACTAAGTTTCGTTAAGATCCTATTCAATGTATTGGCCAGAGGGGGGTGGCAGTTTTGATGCCTCATGAAGATAAGTTCAAGTTAAGATCATATGCACTGTATTGGCCAGAGGGGGTGGGAGTTTTGATTCATCATGAAGATAATTTCAAGGTAAGATCCTATTCAATGTATTGGCCAGAGGGGGTGTCAGTTTGATCCCTCCTGGAGAAAAGTTGAAGTTAAGATCCTATTCAATGTATGGGGGTGGCAGTTTTGATCCCTCCTGGAGAAAAGTTGAGGTTGAGATCCTATTCAATGTATTGGCCAGAGGGGATGGCGGCTTTGTCCCTCGTGAAGATAAGTTCAAGTTAAGATCCTATTTATCGTATTGGCCAGAGGAGGTGGCAGTTTTGATCTCTCCTGGGGAAAAGTTGAAGTTAAGATCCTATTCAATGTATGGGCCAGAGGGAGTGGCAGTTTTGATCCCTCATGAAGATAGGTTCAAGTTAAGATCCTATTCGCTAAGTTTCGTTAAGATCCTATTCAATGTATTGGCCAGAGGGGGTGGCAGTCTTGATCCCTCATGAAGATAAGTTCAAGTTAAGATCCTATGCATCGTATTGGCCAGAGGGGGGGTGGCGGTTTTGAATAGTTGCTGGGATACCATAATCATTGCTGGGAGAAACCATAGAGTCAGCATTGAATCCGACGAAAATAGTTTCTGAATACTGCAAAAATAGTTTCTGAATACCACGAGTAGTTTCTGAATCCGACGAAATAGTTTCTGAATACTACGAAAATAGTTTCTGAATACCACGAGCAGTTTCTGAATCCGACGACAATAGTTTCTGAATACTACGAATAGTTTCTGAATACCACGAGTAGTTTCTGAATACCACGAAATAGTTTCTGAATACCACGAAATAGTTTCTGAATACTACGAATAGTTTCTGAATACCACGAAATAGTTTCTGAATACCACGAAATAGTTTCTGAATACCACGAGTAGTTTCTGAATCCGACGAAATAGTTTCTGAATCCCACGAAATAGTTTCTGAATACCACGTTTATTTTCTGAATCCGACGAGCAGTTTCTGAATCCCTAGTTTCTGAATCCGGCGTAGTTTCTGAATCCGTCTTTGTCCCTGACATATTTCCCAAATTGGTATCCGTTTATGGCTAGACAAGTTTTCCATGAACATACCCTTCACCGAGGTTGACACACTCCAATATCATGCTTCAGAGGTTTATCCATAAATCATCCGCACAAAAAATCTGACTCGTTGGATGCAAAGCGGTCAGCCTTGACCGCCGCCCAGAAACATGTCCGTTCGCAACTGCAAGTTGGTGCCCGCCACGCAAGCTAGCTCTTGGCGACCCAACCTGCTAGCGGTGGCTAGGTCCCGATGGGTCAACGGGATTTTCCGAGCACATTATTTTTGTTTAACCTCCGGCAAGTGGATGACTTGTGCAAAACGCAGAGTGACTACACTCCGGTCATTTACCCTACTCTTCCAGTTACGTCTATTTCATGTAACCGCAGCAGTTACCAGCATATCAAGTAACCAGGTTTCAGTTACGGAACCGCACCTTGGATTTCAAGGATTCATATAAGATTCATCAAGTTATCCCATACATATGTAAGTTCAATAAATAGTTCATTAACAAATGGTTTACAATCCAGCATTTCACTACCCTGTACTTATGGAACAATGAAGCATTATTTATGGAGCAATGAAGCGTGCCTTGGTCCGTCAGCGATTTGAAAACCAGAAAGGTGCCACCCCAGCTCCCTGCCACATCAATGGCCACTTCAGGAACATAAATTGGATGTACTTACCATCATATAAGACCTATACAATATTGGAAGGAAATATAACCACCAAAATATGGTACAGTACATCCACTTTAGGATCCTGGAATCACCATTGACCACAGCCGCAGCAGTTGTCAATTTTGGGTTTGTGGATTTTAATACCCCTATTTGAGTTTCTTATATAACCCCATTGATATGGAATTATAAGATTATATAAAAATCCACAAATCCAAAATTGTGAGCAGTGCAGCTGCATCTTTCACCACTGATCTGCACGCTCCGGTGCAGCCATTGTTGGAGCCCAAGTCCTGCAACGCTGCGGTGTCAGCCATGGCAGCTGCTAGTGATCACGTAGATGGGGTGGAAATAGATGAGGAGTATCTTGTATCAAAATGAAGTCAGGATTCCTTGTACCTATTTGCATTTGTGTCTATAAGTGAATTTTGCAAATTTGTTTTTGCTATAATAAGGCAGCAATTCCTTTTCTGCCTCTTCGATGAGTGGGCACGCAACATTGGGTTGAAAGAACTTCGTGAAGATGAACGTCACAACTTGTTGGGTGATGTTGCCACAGTGGACCCATCGGAAGAGGGAGCTGCTGCTTTGTATTTCCCCCTCTCAATGCTACTGGCACAATATGGCAAAGATCTTCCAAATGGATCCAAGTTCAAGGTATCTTTGTTCGCTATTCAAGTTTTTTTAGTTAGGATGCATGTGCACTACTGGCATTCTAAAGTTTGCTTCCCAATGTGATCCTATAGGAGTAGCTCCACTACGCTTCTAGGCGGCGATGACTGACCTGAATGACCTTCACGCGTTCCATCCAAAGGAGGCTCTGGTGAAAGATGTGACCACATGGGCTGAGATTCAGGCGGCAACCTTGAGAGCGCATGGTACGTATCTCATTAGACTCTGGCGAAAGACACCAGGGAAGTCTAAGTGTCATGACTGAAATTTGAACTTTACAAAATTTATGGCAACAAATTGACTATATAATTATGGATGTCTTGATATCATCATGGTCAAGTTGTGGGTGAACTAATCTTAGGTCAGCAGAAGTGCAGATGCTCAAGGATGTCCTGACTGTCAAGCTTGGTGTACCTACTTCCTCAAGTTCACCTAGCCCAGCTGCTGCACCTGCCAACACTGACACGGCCCATGCTTCTGAGTCGCCTGCTGCTGACTCAGGTACTGCACCTGCCACCCCTGCCACTGACCTCTCAAGTGCTGCACCTGCCACAGAGAGTGCCCCATCGGAAGATGTCTCTGTGGACCCTAGCCCTAGTGGTACTAGTGCTGAAGCCGAAGCTGAAGCTGTTGCGGCTGTCTTGTTGGAACAGCCAACTGCTGAACCTTCCAGCTCTATGGTTGATACGATGCAAACAATTCCAATGACTACTGGGGAGGAGTGGCCACCCCGACCATGGCTTCCAAAATCATCACTTCTTAGATGGAGCAAACCTGCTTCTCATTGCTGCGGTCAACCAGTGTGTATTGGTGTAGAGAATCAGGAGTCAAATTGCATGATATGTGCTATGTGGCTATGTGTGTGTGAAACTAGTTTGACTTGTTGGATCTCTTCCCTTGCTCCCTCCCTATCAGACAGGAGCTTGCTGGAGATCATGATGGTGTGGCAAGCGCGCTTGTGGAGGAGGCGGGTTTCATTTCAAAGGCAAACCTGGTAGCATGTAGTCAGCCAGCCGCAACTTACAACTCAATTTGTGAATGTCGCCTGGTAGGCTGAAGTACCTACGGCAGAGCCTGCTACGTCAGCAGCTATGGTATTGGCAGAGGCAACCCCACCATTAAATTGTACAAGTCTGTATGTGTGCATGTTCATGCTTGTGAAAGTTCTGAAGATACAAATACTTATACATATTTTGAGATGTTATCATGATATATACATATGATGAATACCAAAAATATATTTCTGCTACATATAAGTTTGTAGATTATTTACTGTCATTCTACCCTCTGGAGGTTGATGCCGCTGCGGATGAAGAGATGCCTTCAGTGGAAGATCAACACCAGGCTTGGGGGCTCCCTGGATGTAAAGCAAAATAATGCAAAATAACATGTGATTTCGTTGGAATCTAACGTTGCTGTGGGTGAAGTTGAATTGCCACCAATATGATAACATCGTTCAACACATTTACATTTAAAACCATGGAAAACCTGGTGAGAAACCAAACCCAGCCAAGTCCTTCCACATCTCATTCGGCACTTGAAGGACGCAGATGGCGACACTGGCCTGGCAGTGGAAAAGGCTTGCAAGGGTACAGGATTCTTTGGCCTTAGGGGTACGGTATGGGTCTTGCAAAAACATGATATATATATATATTAGTACAGGTAAAAAACACATTTTCATAATACTTCCCAATATTAGCATGTTAGATGAGCTAACTAAAGATGCCAGCGTGAATATTCAAAACCTGCCATTTTTTGGAGGCTCTGGAGAGTTTGGAAGATGAGACGGGCGAACCTGATCTCAACGAATGCAACGCTCAAAGGCCAACTAGTCGGCCGTGCTATGCTGACCCTTAGCTCTAGAAGATCTACATGTTCCAAAATGTTCAAGATTCCATTCCCTGGGACATGCTACAGCTACATGTTCTCCATTTGTTTTAAGGACAGGGCACCTTTGGTTGCAAACCCACCGGACCTCAATGGAGTCTTAAGTGAAATCAATTTCGATGAGATTCCACTCTCCGACAACATTCTGCAAGCACAAGCAGACATGCTGCTAGGTTGCACCTAATTCAACTTAATTTCATTCAGTTAAAAAATAACATTGGGGGTCTTGACAGCATACAGCATGTTTTTGAAGGTGATGTTATCTTTAAGTACCACCCCTTGCCAACCGCGTAAGCTGCCTGAAGGCGAGCTGCTTCCAGAGCGAAGGCGAAAGCTGCTGCTCCTGGTCGTGGGCGTGGCAAGGGAAGGGGCAGAGGACGGGGGAAACAGCCAGAGGATACTGGGGCCAGCAGCAGCAAGCCAGAGGGTAAGGGTAAGGGCAAAGGCAGGGGAAGGGGCAGGGGCAGGCAACCAAAGAAACGTGTGACTTGCCCTGAAGATGCACCTGAAGATGAGCAAATGGAACCAGGGACCACTGAGGGACCAGGTGAGGAGCTTGAGCCAGCACCAAAAAAGAAGCGTACTGGGAAGAACAAAGAGAAGAAAAACCCTGTGGTAGGCGCTCACACTTCTGAAATTCAATCATGATACATGACATTATATGGTTCCTCCTGTGTAATATATTTACCCTGAAGCTGGTCCATCCTGCTAGATGAAGATGAGCAGACCTACATCTATTCGACCTTGCCACAGCTGCAGCACTTCAAGGTTTGGGTTTGTTGGCATTTTCAATGTGTAGCAATTATTGTTATTAATAAGCAAAATGTCAACACAACACACATACTTTCCAGGTTGTCCCATATTGGTCCCGTGGAGAAGTTGGAGTTGAAATGAAAGCTACGTCGGTCAGCAAAAAGAAGGAGGCTACCCTCTCATGTTTAATTTCAACTCAATATTTCTACATTGATGATGCTTTATTTTTGCCAGGTTGGATTCTTGAGTCTCCAGTCAACACCTGGGGCAAAGTTCCGAGAGATTGTCGCTATTGCTGTTGAACTGGTTGGGGACCAAATTTTACATGTTAACATGCAGAGTGTTTGTGTGCATGTACTTTGGGGTGTACTTGAATTGAAATACAACCCATGTCCTGAGGCATGTTCCTTGGAGAATGGAAAAGGCCTCGCTGAGTGCATGGCTGCGTTTTATGGGGCTCGCAATGCTCTTGTTAGCCAGCGTTCGGGCACTGAGCCAGCTGCCTGATAACCTTCAAAGCTGCGGTGGCCTAGCTGTTGCCTTCCGAACATGAACTTGTGCAGTATGTGCTGCTTTTGCTGCCGACTAAACTTTGTCCAAAGAAGTTCCCATCGATAGTTTGCCAAGCTGTGTTTTGAGATGGTCATTTAAGTGGGAAGGCAGCGCAAGGGGTGTGGCATGTCTCACAAAGTGCGTGGTGAGGGCTTAGTTTAGCTTGGCACCTTTTGGAAAGTTCTCACATGTTTGGGGTGACGAAATCTTGGAGAGCTACCGAGATGCAGCAAAGCAAAACAAAAAATATTTTGTTGTCTTATTAGTCCATTTGTTGCCAGTACTGGAGTACTAGTGGGTGCGACTGAATCCTACATGTTGCACTAACATGCACGAACCATATCATATCCATATCTTCGAATTCATGCCCTGAATCTATCTTGCAGGACTTTTGAGAGGCTTGGATTGTGGTAGAATCAGGAAGTGGTTAGCCTAGCAACATGGCTAGGTTCCCTTTGACAAACATGCAAGCAGCCATGTTGCTTGCCCTGGGTGCTCCTTGTGTCTTGCGCTTCAGCAGCATATAGGTCTTTCCAACCTGGGCAGAGTGTTTGCAATCAATAGAATCCCTGATGATTATATTGGGGGTGACCAGCGGCCCAGGATTCACATGCTGGACTTCGTGAGTCATACCAGCAGCCGTTCTTTCAGCCGTGTTTCTTGGAAAGTAATTACATTATGCCAAAATATGATTCGATTAGATCAGCTCATACAGAATTGTGGGAATACATGCGACCGTATAGTGTGCTCAAAATGAGGATCTGGTGGCATTCGATTTATTTTCTGGAACATCTGGTGTTTACAATGCCTTCCGTACTTGCCTCAGAATCTACAATATTTCCAGTTTGATTGTTCACCAATATCATGCGAAATTTAAACACATCTCATCCCTGGCTCGCAGAACGGCGAGATTTGAAAGCTGCGCGATATGATCGGGACATGGCTCCTGGAAGTGATGAGATGGATTTCACAAGTATGTTACTTGTCTTCAAAATCATCTGGAATGTTGTTGTAACACAGAATTTTGAATCAAACCAAAAGATCACAAAAAAATATCATAAACAATTTAATAAGGGTTGCACATTGGAAAATAATGTTTTGATTTCGCTAGCTGCTAAGATATGGCTATCTGGTCTCGCTGCAGTACACCATGCGTGTGAAAGCCGGTGGTCTACTTATGAGTGGACTACCTTGTTCAGGACATGTTTGGATCAGTCGTGGAACGACAGGGAAGAGTCGAGAGAATCCTAGAGGGGATTGTGACAGTACCACATCCCACAAGTGTACCAAAACAGCTAATATGTTAGCATGTCGATTCGCCCTGATCGCCCTTCTCTGCTTAGCCCGTCAAGTATGGTGGCTGGCAGAACAGCCAAGCAGCTCTGTTGCTCACTTCCTGGAATACATCCAGCTTGCCCTTGCGCCTGCCCAGCTGATGATTGGCTTTGCACAGGGGCTTCTCCAACGTATGTGGTTTGGTGTGACAAGCGTTAAAGACACATTGTATTAATCATGTATTTTTCCCTTTTATAGGTGATTACAATATATAGATCAAAATAGATTCCAAACATGTCTACTGTAATCCCTTTTGTAATTTGCAGAAAATGACCAGCATATTCAATTCATTTTTGAAATATCTCCCCATTCAAGGATATAACTTAAAAACAATTTATCTCATGAGTTCAGTTTAACTTAGGTGGATGGGATTATTTGGGCATCGAAGCTTGAAGAGAACTGTGCTTTGGGGGAATGCGCAACTGGATGGCATTTCAGATTTGCAAAATTCTTCAACAATGACAAATTCTGCAGATTACCAAATTAAGCTTATATCATGTTATCCAGACAGTCTGCCGATCTTGCCTGGAGATTTGCTTGTCGCTGGCCAAGGCCTTGGTGCCACCTCTTCTCCTTGCAGAGCCACATTCGTGAAGCTGATCGCCGGAGGTTCAATTGGACATCCGAGGGGAACACCAGGGTTGTGCGAAGCAACAGTGGGAGAATCAAGAATGTGTTGCCTGGTTGCCATCTTGGTCTTTTTTGAACAGATATGCATTTTACAGCTAAGGTTCAAAATAGGTGGATCCAGATATTTTATTTTATATTACTCAAATAAAATTTCTGGATCTAACTATTTTGAGATATTCCCTTAAATTAAACAACAGGAATCCCTTTAGATGTGTCGCTCAGGTCAGGAGGCAAAAAACTACGAAGCACACAAAGCTATCCAACACGTTTCTGCAACAGACTGGTGCATTTTCACAAGCTATACTGTCTTGTTTCTTGGCTTATATTTCCAGTCTATATTCAACAGGTAAATGAACAAAATATTCATTTATGAAAGTTCAAATTTGCTTTCGGTGGCATTCACGTCAACACCACATTTCACAAGAGATCACAAGAGTAAACCTGTACATGTGGATGTACTTAGGACCAAAAATTGCTACCAGCTGTCCCTGATGCTCATCTCTTGAATCGGGGTCCCATTGAAGTTGTTGCTTGGCAAAAAAAACTTATAAGCTTGATCATTTGGACCATTGCAGTTAAATGCTGGAATGGAATGAGGCTAAACCTGATCTTTGGGCTGATGCTGGACTCGCACCTTGTTTTAATAGCAGCTTATTCATTCACCAATTGTTCCACCATTGTTCCACCTATTACCCCACCACCTGGCCTGCTCACTATAATAATATATGAATTTGCCTTCCAGCTTCAGCCCAGGAACCCTTCGTCCAGTTCCTCAGGGAAGAGTCCAAGCGTGGCAGGTTCAAGCCTCGGCCACATGTGCCAATGCGGGTCAGCCCTCTGACCGAGAAGGAACTGGACATTTACTATTCTGTCCTTAATGGTGATTAGACAAATTTGTTGGGCCTCAACATGTGGCCAAGTATGAACGATTCCTCTCAAGCATGAATCCAAATGAAATCTAGTCACCCTATGTCCTTGAATTGAAGGTATTCCTGAATCAATTTTGTTGGGTATGGATGATGCCAGGAGGTACGTTTGCACTTTCTCAATTACAGCTGCAATTTGGAGTGTGTGTGTGGTTTAGCCACATGCACATATACCAATCTCGTGCAACATGGGGAAAACAGATGTGGCATCAACACAACCAGCATGCAACAAATGAACTTGTATTCATTTGATGCAAAGATATTTGTTTCATGGCTCATACCTTATCACATTTAGGGCTCGAGAACACAGTTTGGAGAATTTTTGAAGGCTGAGGACCAGGGTTTTGTGATATGTCTACATTCATTGAAAAACACCCCCACCGGAACCGTTAAAAATACCATCGGAACCGTTAAAAAGGGATATGGAACCGTTAAAAAGGGGTATGGAACCGTTAAAAAAACACCGGAACCGTTATTCCATTTTTCAGGGTCTGATTCCCTGGAGGACCAGGTCATGCCTCGCCCAAAGAAAGCTCCAGCAGTCCCAACGCCTGACATGAGTGCTGTGAACAGCATTCTTGCCAAGGCACGATCCATAGTTGCCAACACCTCAGCAGGGAAGCGCAAAGATGATGGCAAGTTGGAAGCACCACCACCCTCAACAAAGGCAAAGCCCAGCACTGAAGCTGGGCATCCAGTAGCTGAACCCAAACCGGTTACCACGCCTACAACGCCTAGCCTTGACACCACAGCCTCCTCAAAGGCACTGCCCAATGCACCTCCCAAGGCACCTCCCGGTAAAGCTACTGTCATGCCTCCCCCTTTGAGGTTGCGTGGGAAAACACCTGAGCCCTCAAGAGTCCCTGTTAATCCTAAGCAGCAGCCCAAAGCAAGTGGAGCACCACCAGCAAAGCCCTCGCCGCCTGGAAACCCAGACAACACCGCAACAGCAGCCAGCGCCTTTGAGAGGACACGACAGCACTTGCTGCAGGCAAAGGAAGCAAAGGCCGCAGTAGAAGCAGCAGCAGCAGCAGCAAAGCATACGCCCAAAGCACCAGCAGTTTCGAAAGCACCGCAGATTCCACCAGAAAGTTTGGAGACACCACCCCCGAAGATCGGCTTCAAGTCCCCACCAGACAGCCCATTGGCAAAAATGGTCAAGCTTGACTCAGTTGAATCAGTACCTTCAACTTGTGCTGATGATGATTCTCGATGGGATTACCCTCACAGCCAAAGAGATTACTATGGATCACAGGGGCAGTCCTGGTTTCGTGATGGTGGCTGGGACTACTGGGGGAAAACTTGGTTCTGGGATCATGACAAACAACGATATGTGTGTTGTTGGGGTAGTGAGAGTTGGATAGTGGAGGGTGATTCACATGATACACCCACTACAGTGCCAAGTCCATCCACGAGCCCGTCTGCCAGTACTCCTGAGCAGGGCACTGGCAGTGAAGATCTTGTGGGACGCTTCGCTGCCAGGCAGCCCACTTTCGAACCTCAGACAGTCGAGAAAGCTGCGGGGGAACCTGAACCTGACCTTCAGGAAAACCAAGGTGAATGTGGGGATGAGGCAGACCAACAACAAGGTGATGAGGAACATGACCAAGAACCTGAAATCCGACATGATGGAGAACCGCCTCTTGGGGATGACAATTGGCGCCGTGACAAAAAGGGGAATCTCTTGAACCCTGGTGCTCTGTACATGCGCTTCTATCGGCGGGTGCGCAGTATCTTGCTGTCCCAACATGTCATCAATTATTTACTATTTTTTAAGTTTATAATATATATTTTTTTTTCTCGCTATGTACATTTGCTGGCTTTATCGATACTGACATGCCATAAAATTTAAACATACTAAGGCACCAAGAATCCAGTTCCACCTGCTGTCGCTGAGAAAGTTGCTGAAGCTGAGATGAGCTACTTGGATAAATTGCAATCAAAACTTCGAATGTCCCAATAAAGTTGGCTGAACTAGTTGACAAAAAATCAAGGGATGAACCACTATTTGAAAAAAAAAGGGGTGTCACGAGCCATATACAATTTTTGAAACTTCTATCAAACCACCATTAAGGAACCCAAATTCAAATAGTTCAAGTGATACTTACTTCATACTTGATGGTCTCTTAAAATGATGGGATTCCCCCAATTCATCTAAAATTAGACCCATAATTTGGGAATTTTCCCTTTTAGGAAACCTCCATTTAGATTCTAGCCAAGTTGCTCCGCTCTGCAGGAGAAGAGGGGAAGAGCAAGATGCATGAGCTCTATCTCCTATGGCTGTCGGGCAAAGGGCAATGGGGGGCGTGTGAGTTGACCATCACTAGTGCCCGAAGGGATATCAATGATTGCACTGAGCTCTATGAATTCTTGACCCCAGAGGGCCTTGAGAAGGAAGTGGGTGCGGACCTAGCCAAAGACTTGATGGTTCGTCATGCGGATGCAGAGAATAAGCTCCCCAATGATCGTAAGGGCCAGTTCATCCGAAAGATACTCAACTTAATTGTGCTGCAACATGCATGTGTAATTTCTTTATCGTGGGCCTTAAGCGTATTCTTGGGTTTCTTTCTGCCTAGGAACCCTCAGTTCCCTGACAACATGACTCTCTGGCGCTACAAGTGCTTCGTTGGGGTGTCTGAGAAGAGGAAGCGTCGGAATGAGACAGGTGTTGCCTTGCATAGAACAGCTGAAGTTGATGAAGACGACTTCCACAAGATGATGTCAACTGACTTAATAAGATTATATATGATCATGCACAAAAACACAAATGATTATATAATTGTGTTTTGTTGACCCCTCTTATGCCTGCATCCAAGGGATGAGACAGCAGATCAGTCTGCTGCTAGCATGGCTCTTGCGGCTGGTGACAAGCCTACTGTGCCCAAACCAAAGTCGACACCCAAACCGAAGACCGATAAGCAAAAGTTGGAGACTGTCCCTTGTTTTAATTACCCGGCAGAATTATCCAGCTAAAATTTGTCCACCAGTTTGTGTTGATGAGTACATGGATTCCATCATTGTTGCTCCACAAGTTATTCCTGGGGTCCCATGTCCTAGGCCAACAACACGGCCAACCGCTATTTGACTGACAGTGCCCACTGCGAAGCTTTGTTGCTTGCAGCCACCGGTGCCCAATTGTACTTTGCCATGCAATTAACCAAGTTGCACTAGCCCGTAGGACTATTGAATTTGATCATTGCATAATTTATTTAAGCAACATTGACACCTCATTCTGCGTAATGTGTTGCCCACCAGTCCATCCCAGCCACATTGTGTCCTCAGGAGTGCGGCATACAAGGATGCTCTGCTGACAGATCTCCAAGCGTCTGTTGCCCACCTGAAGAAGTCCAAGGAGTCAGCGGTGGAGGCATTGGCCAAGGACAACAAGGTGTCTGAAGCCTTGGGGGTTTCTTGGTGTTATACAAAAACACTTGTTTGCAGTTGACGTAAAGCCAAATCACAAAATATTACATCATACCAAATTTAGAAAATCCTGCAAAGGATCTAGTTGAGTTGCTGGGTCGTCCTTAACGTGGAACCAACAAAATGTGATATATAGAAATATACAATGGATGCATGCATACATACATGCTTGCACATATTACATAAACAACTGAGCATTCTATATACATGTTTACTAACTATATATTTATATAATAAGGTTATGTCTCAAATTCAGGAGGCCTGTGTTCCCTTCATTTTTTTTGGACGCCAAAAAATGCCAACATATCCATAATTACAGAAATACAGTTAGACATATACTTATACATCATATAATATGCTTTACATAGAAACACAAACACACAAACACACACACACGCACACATATATTATATATATTTATATATTATATATATGTCAGATCACATATTGATATGCAAATACACATACAAATAATGTGGGATTACACATATTGGTTCACTACTGCCTGCACCCCAGGATTTGGATTCTGTCCTGAAGTCATTCAAGAAGGTTGCTGACACTGTCAAGAGCCATGTGAAGCCCAAGCCCGTTGCCAAAGCCAAGTCAAAAAAGTCCAAGTCCAAAACCGCAGCCTGAATATAAGGATGTGGCTTTTTCAATATTATATCTTGGGGAAAATCTCCCAATGTCATGTGGTCAGCGCTGTACGAAGCTCCTATGGCATTTGTCACTTATGTTCATCATGATTCATATTTATTATAACATGTAAACAAGTGCACCCACTGGAACATTGTTGTTTGCAGTGTGGGGATGTCAGCGCTTCTGGGGATGCAGCGCGTTTGCCACAATGTTGGAAGATGGCCGGCGTTAGCAGTTCGATTAGAATCTGGATGAGCTTCCTTGAAAAGACATAAATGCCACAAGTCTGATCTGATTTGTTGAACTAATGGATTTTTGATGAGGCAGCTCAACAGAAAGTCGAATGTTGTGATTTCCAAATCATGTAGCGAGCTTGGCAGAACAAAATTAAATGCTTGCAGCCCAACTTGCTAAATCTAAACGCAATAGTTTCCCTCAAGTTCCCACCCTTAGCGACTGTGTGCCCCCACCGCAGGTGGAAATAGAAGAGCAAATTCGCAGTTTGCATCCAACCTGTCACGCGGCCAAGAGCAGTGGGAAGGTGTGTGGTTCCTTTTGTGTTTGAGATGGACATTTTTGCAACTATCCCTGACAAAGTTGTTTGAAACGGAGCCCTTGGAAATTGTTTTAATGTTTCTGACAGCTGGGGTACCATGTTGAAAGTTTTACCAGTCATTGGAGGATTAAGTTGGGTTGTACTTGAAAATCCATCATTTTAAGAAACCACATGTACAAATAAATATTCATATCACTTGAAGATCAATTAACATGTTAGCATGCCCCATTACTAGATCTATTGTCCCAACTCATATGATTGAGGATTGCCCGTCTTGGAGAAGGACGTGAAAGTGCAAGGAGTGCTGTGAAACAGGCACAGGCAGTTGTGCAGGTCGGGGTGATAAAAAGATTTACTTCAAATGGTCCTCACCATTTGAAATTTGTTTCTAAGATTTTCTAAGACATATTAAATAGTCATATAAGTTACCAACCATGTTTGAATAACCTATCAGAGGTTCACATGTGGATGATTTGTCGACACCCTGTAGGAGGTTGGCGAAAAGCAAGTGCACCCTATCACTAGCAAAGTTGCTAAGATCAAAGACGGTGCCAATTGTCATAGAGACCTTTTCAGGTTCTTGAGTCTCCCAGTTGGTGTATCGTGGGTAGAATGCCCATTGCATACAGCCCCAGATTCAGAACATGTTCACACTGGAAAGCTACCTATGTACGACCCTCATGAGCTATTAGCGTACTTGTGGGAAACAGAGAGGATTAAAGTTCCAATAAAGGCTATCCAGATCCTTGCCTGTCAGATTTGGATTGTAAGTTTTTCTATTGGCCAAAAAGTAGATCACCAACGAAGTTCCAAGCCACTCCTTTGGTGGCATAAATTGGGAATTTCTCCCAACGGTCCTGCAAATGCACAGTCCAAAATGACCATGAAAACCTTCTCTGCGCCCAGGAAGTATTGGCAGCATTGGTGCCAAGTCTCTGATTGGGCTGTCAAGCATCCAGGAAATGGCTCAGCGATGCCAGTCTGGTTGTATGGAGATGAAGCGAAATATTCGAAGACCCACCAAGATAAGTTCATCGCTCTTGTGTTGGGAAGCCCACTGATCTTCAAACAAGGAATCTCAATTGAATAGTAGTACTAGTCATAGTTTGTTTATTGTATTTTCTATCCTCATTATTTTTTGAAAAATGCAAGTCCAATTCCCATGCATGGCTACTTTAACATAAAGCCCATATACTGTCATGTGATGTTTGGGGCCCCCAACACTAAGGAGCAAGTGCAGAGAATTTCCTATTCTTCATTGTCTCATCTGCAATTGCAGTTGGAACCTGTGGAGTTGAATTTTGGCATTGTAACTTCAGTTTGCCTTTTCATTATGTGGTTTGATACTTTTTGTGGAACGTCCTAGTATTTTTCTTTAACCCATATTAATATCCCCCCAGACTGGGATCCATAAGTTTGAGTTGGGATTTGGAAATATACCAAAGCAAACTAGGAAACGTTGAAACCCATCCTACAACGTACTTGCTGGTCCCTCAATCTGGCACTTCAAGGTTCACGACCCACAGGCCAAGTTGCATTGGACACAGGCTTTCCACTTTGCCGCAAGGCGCAGGCCTTGGGTGGCTCACGGTTGCCTATGACATTTGGGATTACAGAGTTTCGAGGTGATTGGCAGTGGCATGTATATTTTTGGAGTCTTTGGGATCATTATTGGAAGTGTGGTTCCATATGCTGGAGGTGCTCAGCGGCCCGAATACCAAGGTGGGATGTAAGTAAGAACATGGGTGTTTAGCCATGAATGTTTTCCTGCAAACCACCATGGCAAATATTAATATATTTACTACCAGGCATCTCCTGTATCCTCTAGCTACTTTTCTGGCTGGAATGCGATGGCAGCCCCTTTTCCAGGTTTGGGCACCTATTCTGTGACATATACTGTGATTGGCAACTGCGCAGTACCCCAGAATTCATCCGAGATTGTCTCCCAGCACGGGATCCGAACCCTTTGATCCATGTTCTTGGATTCGACGTTGCCATGCTGACCTTCAGCGGGGAAAGTGGCAATCATGTTTTTTTAGTGCCCAAATGTCTTTTTTGTTTTGTGTTGAGATCTTACTGCTGTTATGGGTCTCAGTCCCTGGATGAGAGGAAACATTGCGTGATGCACACGAACAATTTGGGAATATTCTTAATCCTGAATGCAGAGGGCTTGCAGGTCCTTGCCCGGCACAGATCTTCAATTTGGGGGTGCACATTCAATGAAGCTTTGAGTCACCTCTATGATGACTTTCGATCTTGGTGCCGTTCCAAGTCAATAAAGTGCTCCCACCGAAAATGGCATGAACGACAGCTTCATTTAGAGACTGCCCAAGGGGAAAAAACTTTTGGCTGGTTGAATGCGAAAGCATTTAATGCCAGGGTGATTTTAGCGTGGTTATCAGTTCCTAGCCAGCAAGTATGACCCAGATAAACTTTTTTTTTAATGTGTTTGGGGCTGCTATATTAGCATAATTTTATTGAATATACCTTCACCATCCTTCACCTTCCCAGGATGAACTCAGCCGCAAACAGAACGAGCTGATGTTGCAGCTGCCAGGCGAAAGTGCCCATGAGCATGGCCAACGAGTGCAGCTGTGGTCTGCTTGTGTTGCTACAGTGTAGCATTGATGCATTTAAATTATTAGTTATGTTTTTTTAGCCCCAAATTGCCAGAATATCTACAACAAAAAATCATCATTGACCCAGTCATGCTGATGAAACTAGAGGTGTAGCTTTGCTGAGTGGCAGAATATGTCTGAGAGAATGCCACGATATCTGACAAGGGAACAATCGACTGAACTACGCGATCTGGGATTACAGTGCTGCCACCTTTATGTGTTTGCTGCTCAAGTTGCTGCGGCTCAAAGCCGGCTCCATTTTCTTATAATTCCAAAACTACATATCTTTCACCATGTGTCAATAGACATTGGTGTTGATATGGTCAATCCTCGTGCGTTTCACAATTTTTCAGGGGAAGATTTTATGGGTGTGTGTAAGAAGGTTGTGCAAAGCACACCGCAGGGAACAAATTTGGAACTTAGGGTTCTGAAAAGAACGTTAATTAAGGTGATGTCAATCACCCCACATGCGGCGAAGCACTTCGCAACTTGAAAAAAGAGGCAGCGGCCAGTGGACCATAGCCTAAAAGTGCCTTGGCTGGGTTTTGGTTCATCGCCAGAATTCTGGTTCCAGGAGAAACCGGAACTAACCCCCAGTTACTTAAAATAAAGGTAACCAGGAAGCATTGGGTTAGCTATGGAAAATCACCATGTCTAATAGGTAAATCCTCATTTTAATAGTCTATAAAACGGATCATTTTTCGTAACTGTTTGACATAACCAGAGGGTACCTATTGGTGGCTCCCTTCGAATGCCTTGATGCTTGGACAGCGCAGTCCATGGCCACCAAAGTCGATGAGCAGGCTGTGTCGATGGTGAAGCAGGGGCCTGTTCCCACAACACGGCAGCGTTGTAAAAACGGAAGATGAAGCAAGAAACCTGGCCACAACAATAACCATAGATTCTGGGCAAATTACAATAATTCGCTAACCTGAAATAAGGCCATTTTGGGATGATTCCCCTTATTATCCATGATTCCAGTGAGGTCGCAGTGAGGTCGTTATAATTTTCCCAGATAGATATAGTACTGTAGTAGTTATTCTACTATAATCCGTGGAAGTACTAAATCTAGTTAAGACTGGCAACAGTAGTACGTTAATCATGTCAAGGAGATTCCTAGATAGAACTGGATGATGGGAAAATTTACAGGAAACCCCTATATTTGATGGTAAAAACCATGGTTTCCTGTAAATTTTCCCTTAAACCAATCCATTGAATTTATATATATATAGTACCAAGTTACTATACATAGTACTCGTGAATAGACAAAGTGAATGGTGGTAAACAAATCCATCTGACACATCAAACTCAATATGAAGTAGCTGGGAAAGCCTTCCAGTCGTTGGGATGCAAACTGATGCACAAACCAACACACAGTCTACATGCTGTTCCAGCTTCTTCATGTGTCTTAGGACAAGTTTCTCACCTGCATCACATCACCTTTGCCATGTTTCCCACAAACAGAATGCCAGGAATGCTTTATCACAATACTCCAATATGGTTTGGGGGAAACTCAAGGGTGATTTGCACAAATTTGCCTCAAAACAAGTACCGTCCCACTTTGACGGTTGATCATCGTTTTTTTTTACATCGCAATTTGTGGATATGCCTTTGGTAAGACAAACTCATTACCTTCTGGCAGTCAAACATTGCGAAAATACATGATACAAGTATACATGACAATAGCCCATTCACTATGCTTCTCCCATTTACGCTCTGGTAAACTAACATAGCTATGGAAAATGGCCATTTAGTTCGTGAATTTACCCATTAACAACGGTGGTTTTCCATAGTTATGTTAGTTTACCAGAGGGTAAATGCCCTTTGATGGTGGATTTTTCCAGAAACCATTTCCTGACATCCTCAAGCCCCAACCCTTCAACTCCCGTAGTCTCTGGCACCTCTGAGCCCCAGCGCATGGGAGATACGTCCAGACATGCCGCTGAGACCGGAGCCGATGTTTGTGAAGGGGCCGATGTCCTCGTACTCCACCGTGATTCCTGGGGACATCATGGGACATCATGGCTGTTCCATCGATTTCTCCGATTGGTATATCTCAAACCATGATTTTGTTACCCCCCAAATGTTGAGGGGGTTCTTGTAAATGTTCCCTTAAACCAGTTCTGGATGTTCAAAGTTACAGACTCTCAAGGCGCTTTGCAGGTTCATTCCAGTACCTAGTGTGAAAAGGGGATAGGTAGCGAAGAGAAAAACCCTGGTGCCCTCCTGAACATCCCAAACATGAACAGAACGGCGACGTCGGTTCTGGATGTTCATCTAGAGGATTTCAGTTGCTCTTGTTTTTCAATTGTCTATGATGTTTATAATGTTAATGGCCCCTCATCTTACTTGCAAAAAAGTAATGGCTGCTATCAGCTCCCAACAGTTCCAGCCTGTGAGAGTGCAGCAACCCATGAAGACACCGCATTCCACGTTCGCCAACGTCTCTTTGGTGAAGCCGCTGTTGTAGAAACTCTCCTGGGCTCATGGGTTCATTCCCAAATTGGAAAAAAAAACGCCAGGTCGGTCCCACCTTTGCCACTCGTGTGATCACATGCCCCCTGTAGCAAGCCGTACTGTAGGGAGGTTTCCTAAAATACAGGCATCCCTAAATCATCCATATCATTTTCGGATTTACGATTTTTCATTAAGCATCCAGCTATTGGGCTACCCATGAAACCCCGGAAACCCCCAACTATTTCAGCCAGTTTATATAAAATGAGTCTATACTGCTTGGGGCAGCCACCTCCGGCAAGCCACGTACGCGGTCTCTGTCTGCAACCTCTGGTGCGTGTCCATGGATCGTGCTTCCGGCTCCGCAATACCAAAGAAAGCTGCATCGAACTCCTGCTGAACATGGTGGGAGCGAAGGGATTCAATCAAAATACCCTCTGGTAATTTAACGTAGCTATTGAAAATGGCCATTTATAGTGGATTTTCCCATGAAAAATGGTGATTTTCCATAGTTGTGTTAGTTTACCAAAGGGTAAGGGTTTGGGTTTTTCTAGGTCAGAAAAATCTCATGTTGAATCAAACACAAAAATATCCCAAAAATGATCACACATGATCACACCCTTTATAGCTCCCACAAAGATAGAACAGTAAGATCATATTAAGACCGGTGGTAAATTATGGTTCTATCAGTTCTATCTTTTTTTGGGACTACTCTACCTGCCCCTCCCAACTTATTCTCCCCGTTTTGCCGTTTGTCATCTCCTCCACCCCAGGGATGAAGCCGCCCTCGCGCACGTAGACCTTCCCGGGCACGCCCCGGTCTTCGTCGTAGAGCTCGTCCACGTCGAAACGTTCGATGGGGATTTCACTGATGGGATCCCGACCGCTGAGCAAAAAGCTCCAGAACCTGGGGATCTCGGCTGAGGCTTCAGCCAACTCATGGGTAATACCCTCTGGTAAACTAACAGTTTGCTATGGAAAATCACCAGTTTTAATGGGAAAACTCACTATTTCTATGGCCATGTTCAATAGCTTTTTGTATGTTTACCAGAGGGTACCCAAAATTCAGTCACCATGGCTTTGAAAAATACTAAGTCAATCGAAGTCCCTGGGTATAACTGTTCCTGGATGATTTGGAGGACCCCCATGACTTAGGAAACCTCCCGATGATGTCTTGCGGCTGCGAGGATAGGATTCTGCAGATTCGTTCTGAGTGGGGACATCACCATTTGTTGTGGATGTTTCACACACGAAATGGGGAAATACAAAAACACCTGAAGGAGGGGCAAAAACCAGAGCAAATGAACTAGACCAGTTTTGATGATTTGAGGGGTTCCCACTTTTGTGCCCCCACTTGGACATGGAAATTGTGAATGACACGGGCAGCGGGTACAGTGTAACCTAAAGACTAGGAGAGTGTGCGCATGAGCCAACAATCATCATGGTACCTGGGCCCTGGGTGTAAAATTGTGACACCACCGAACTTACATTAGTCCAGATGTCAATCTACAAATCACCAACAAGGTCCCAAAAAAAACATTGATAATGATACATCATGATTATCACAAGTAGAATCCACCTTCAGATCCCAGCAGCTCCGACACGTCGTTCTGCGCGCTCATGCCCGGATAGCGCCCTGCAATGCCCAGCATAGTCAAGGGCTCGCGCGTGGCCGACAGGTCGCCGCCTGCCAGCAGCTGATCGTCCGCATCGTCCGGGGCGAACTGCGAGAGGATGAAGTCCGTGAGATCGGCCACTGTTGGGTAGTCGAACATCACCTGGCTTCACCAGAAGGATGGGGGGATGTTGGGGAGACTGAGAATATACTGGGAATACCAGCTATAAATCACCAATGAGAAATCTACATTCTGGGTGTTGGGAATACTCTTTGTAGGTGGGCTTGAGAAGATTTGCCCATTGGAATATATTGAAATGAGCAGATTTTGTTTTGTTTGGCTCTAGCCCATTTTTGGACAAACCCACACCACATTGGGAAGAGAACTATACTTGACTATACGATTACACGGTTGGAATCTATTGGAACCTATTAATTGCATTGAAACATGACCATTCCAAGTGGTCACTGGGGTCACCAAGTGGACCGGGCCAGAAGTGCTAAGCTGCAGAAGTCTTACCAATTTACGTCTTCATAGCATAGTTAGGTTTCACCCACCTGATATGACGCGCGGTATTTATCATTTATATATATATATATATTCATTTATCATGATTTATCTAGACTGATTAGACTGGTTGGTGGTTTCAGCCCCTCTGCAAAATATGAAAGTCAGTTGGGATTATTATTCTCAATTTATGGAAAAATAAAAACATGTTCCAAACCACTAACCAGATAATTATATGACCCATTCTTTATCTAGATGACCAGCGTGGCCAGGGTGTCTAATGATCATCCCAAAACTTCCTGTGCCCAGTTGCAGTGGAGCTCAAACGTACGCCTTCGAAGGAGGCCTCCAGGCAGCCCATGGGGGCGAAGGTCTAGCAAAACATGGGGATATATATATATATTATAATGCCAAACATTTCATGGATATGTATGGATATGTATGGATATGTATGGATATGTATGGATATGTATGGATATGTATGGATATGTATGGATATGTATGGATATGTATGGATATGTATGGATATGTATACATAGGGCTCATACATACGGATCAGGAAACCATCATCCGACAATAAACAAAATCACCATGATTCTTTGTGTTTTTGTCGGGATATCCCCGGATCCAAAACACTTGAAATACCTCAGAGTTTTTCAGTTGAAGTAAGTTTGCCAGTTTGAAGCTTTAAACTACATGGCCTAAAATGATCTAAACTGATTATATATAACCCCCTCATATTAAGCACCCCCCTAAATGGGCCCAAATATGTGTGAATGTCCTATAAACCATGATTTCGGTGTTCTTTTTGATATGAGGATATTAGGTTTTCTTTTTGATATTAGGATATTAGGATACTGGGATAGAGACTACAAGATATTACAAGTTCAAGCACCGAAGTCACCTGAGGAGTCTCGGTCAAACAAGTCACCGTTGCCTGCACACGGTTCCTGAATTCCACTGCTGCCAGCGAATCCAGGCCCATGTCCATCAAGGGGGATGAGAAGTCCTCCAAGGAGTCGTCGCCTTTCGAGATGATGGGACTCTCACGGAAGATGAGATCGGTTGAAATTTCTGGGGGTTCAATATGGATCTATGGAAAATGTCTGGTTGCTTCATGTTTATTATGGGTATAAAAACATTTAAAAAAACTGCATTCATATGGGGATAACATGGGTATTCGTGTCATGTTGGCCTGAAAAAACATAGGGGAAACTTAGGTCCAAGTTGATGGTTTGCCACAGCTATGGGGAACTGCTCTCTTTTAGCTGAGACATCTAACTACATCTAAGACTGGATCCAATCAAATGAATGGAGTTGGATGTAGTTGGATGTCATTGGATGAATGGAGAAAGTTGGGATTCTCCAATCAATTCTAATTAATTCTAATCATCTAGTCGAAGTCTTTGAGTTGCAGAAGATGCAGGTGGTCTGACTTCACTACGGTGACTACGGAGCAAAAACATCTCCCAATCCCAAGGAATGAAAGCCCAAAGTTTGGAACTTCATTCATCTCTCCAAAAAGTCCTCAAGACTTGCTCCAAAGAAGTTTAATTTTGAAGTTTTTCACCCAGAATCTGCTCTTAGAATACCCAGAAAAAACACATCAACAAATGTCAACAATCACCCAAGTTTCTTTTCCAATTCTTAGAGTTCACCCTTTTTCCCAATGGTCGGACCATGCCCAAAATCCTGTTGCCAAGGCGCCCAAGACTTCCTTCAGTACGTTTTCGATGCCGCTGCGCACCAAATCTCTGGAAGGAGCCGCACCCTTGGCCACAAGACCACCCTTCTTGGCATCCTTCGGAGCGTACCTGCAGTGAATCTATATTAGATATGTATGTTTGTATGTTTGTATGTTTGTATGTATGTACGTACGTACGTACGTATGTATGTACGTATGTACGTATGTACGTATGTACGTATGTATCGTATGTATCGTATGTATCGTATGTATCGTATGTATCGTATGTATCGATAGTATCGATAGTATCGATAGTATCGATAGTATCGATCGATAGATAGATAGATAGATAGATAGATAGCTAGATAGCTAGGTAGATAGATAGAGATATAGATATAGATATAGATATAGATAGAGATAGAGATGGAGATAGAGATATAGATATAGATATAGATAGAGATGGAGATAGAGATAGAGATATAGATATAGATATTGCTATAGATAGATATGTAAATGAGGATTATTAGAGATGGAGAATCTAATCCGTATCTGATTTTCTGCTTTCAATCCATGAACATGTTCATCGGCTATACGGCAACTACATTTAAATATACGGACTTTTAAATCTAAGAACAGGTATTTTAGACCTCCTCCGGGAAGGTTTTCCTTGGCCCTCCCGGCCATTTAAACATACGGTAACTACATTTAAATATATATAGTATATATATATATAATATATACATATAAATAATATATATAATATATACGAACTGGTATATGTATATATATATACGAACTGGTATTTCATGCTACCTCCGGGGCCTCGCGGTCTGGCCCGCCCTCCACATATTTAGATGCCGTTACCGTAGGATTATCACTACTAGGTAGCGCCAGGGTCAAGGCATGAGCGTTGTGAGATCATGTTGAGTTTGGATCAAGAATCCAACAGGGGGGTTCTTCAAATGGATGCCCAGGTCACCATGGGTTTCAATACTAAAATGTTCTAACGTTTGATTTGGGGCTAACACCATTTCAGGAAACCTCCATATGGAATGATCTGCCATAATCAGCCATAATCATCGCGCATCAATTGAGGTGGCAAGTTCGGCACACACCATCCCCAAACCGTCTTGGAGACCCAGGTTTTCTCTCCAAAAAGAAACACCTCACCATCCAACCCCTCACCATCCATCCATCCAACCATCAACTTCCCACAACGACTTCCCTGTTTTTTTCAGCCCAAGATCTGCTGGAAATTCTCCAAAAAGCTGGGTAATTTGGGCATCTGCGCCAGGTAGGACTTCCACTTGATGCGCGCCACGCCCACATAGGCGCCCAAGTGGCTGCTCACTTGCGCACCCAGGATGGTCTCCTGGGGGTGGGGCAATCCCGCACCAGTTGAAAACGGTGGTTTATCCCCAGTATTTAGGTGGTTTATCCCCAGTATTTATAGGGTTTCAACCATCCAAATCATCCAAAATTTCGTAGAGGATTTCTTCCACAGGTAAGTTGTCCCATGTTGGGGGTGAAAGCCAACATGGAACACCACAATTGCCATTCCCAGGACAGAAATCCACTTCCAGACCCCATGAATTTTGGGGGTCCGTGATAGTTTTCAGGAGGCTATCCAATTTGAACCCATGATAGTCTTCAAGATATTAGCTATATCATCTGTTGTGGAGATAAAACTCCCAACAGTTAGGACCCAGCTTTTGCTTTATACTCCAATTCAAGGCTACAAGGGGTAACGTGATGATATCTTGGGTAGTTTTCGAACCCAATGGTTTCTCCTTTCCCTTCCATGAAATTGCCATACATTGGGTGGTAGTCCCCACTTTCAGACACAGCCAAAACATATCTAATATTGTGATATCTCTGTTTATCACTATAAAAATGGTTGGTGGTGTTGTATCCTTAGACCGTCCATTTTCCATCACACCCACTTGGGTATTGTTGGTGATATATCTCATTCATATCCCTATTGATATTCCCCTTTTGTCATGCTTAAATCCCTCCATTTTCCCATTCAGAGCTTTAAAAAACCAGTATCTCCCCAAGAAATTCCATCCAATACTTGATTTGAAACCCATTTTTTTGGGTGAAATCATGTCAAATCCCCATCCAATCATTAGTGTAAGGGAAGATTTATAGGAAAACCACCACATCACATCTCATAAATAGGAAAAACCATGGTTTTTCTCTGTTTTATAGGGAAATTGTATAGGAAAAACTCATGGTTCTCTGTAAATTTTGTCCCTGAAAACAACCCATTGATCCAGGGCATAAAAAACGTTCCAAGGTGCCATGGCTTGCAACCCCTCCGCCAAAGCAATGCGCAACACCACGCTTTCTGAGGTGCCAGCGCGTGCGGCCATGCCCACCTCGAACAATGGCTTTACTAACGACAAAATTTACATATGCTAGGCATATGTCTATAACATAATACTGTATAATCATTAGATATACATGTAGTTGGAGAGAGTATATGCGATTCTTGTGCTTAGATGCCTTATATATATATATGTTACATGATATGCATACATAATATATAACGCTACATTATATATGTGTACTTAGATGGGTTATTATTATGGATTCATAAATGTTACTAAGCCAACCTATCGGGTTGAGCCTTCAAGCCACTTTGGCACCAATGGACCCAAATGGATAGTTCAAGGCATTTGGACACTTGGATGTTGTTTCGTTTTCAGCAGAAAGAAATCAAACTGATTAAATCAAAAAGTGATGATCTACAATTTGGAAAGATGGAGGTTTTAAAGCTGCCTTGCAGCTGGGCAACGCATCCTCAAAAACATATATTATAAAAATGTGAGGTCAATCGAGGACCATCATTGTGGGTCGGGATGGAAACTCCAGAATGTTCGAAGCCATCATCCAGCCAAGTGCCGACATCCTAAGACTGCAAAGTTCCAACATCACTTGGGATCATAGGACTAGCCATATCTACCAATTCTACCATCATGAATCCATTGATAATCCCATAAACATCCATAATCCCATTCGAAATTGTAAATGAAAAATCCCATCCTTCCCATCCTGAGTGGATAATAGTGGATACTCTGGGCCTCGTCTCAGGGACTTGTGTGCTGCTCCACCGTTCATTTTCCCCGTCCCCTGCCTCTGCCCATGGTCCCCATTGAACTGAGACTGCTGGGAGGTCCATCTGACGCCGATAGGCCGCAAAGGTATCAAGGAATGCGTTCGCAGCACAGTAGTTCCCTGCAAGGAGCACCACTGGGTACTGGGTACACCCGCAGATCGAAATCTCGTAGGGGTTTCAATAGATCGCCAAGAGGCCCATAACATCCCATAACTGTCACAGATTGGGGCAGGGAATATGATGAATATGTAATGCTTGGGAGATGTTTAGTGAGGTTTGAACTACAACTACTTCACTGATTCACTACCGATCACATGGAAAAACTGAGATTTTTATGACCACAGTCCCACAGTCATGGCCCCATCGGCCCCATCGTTGGAGAAAATGATTGATCATCTGATCTGTGACGGCTGAAAAGCACAGCTCAAACCCTTCTCAGTCCGACATTTATGCTGCACAATCAAGTAAATCCTGGCCACACAAATCGTCAAGCCAACCCACATTCATGTGATTGCCATATATTGCCATAGTAAAAGACATTGCAGAAGCGGTTGCAGCAACTGAATCCCATCATACAGCAAGGAAGTAAGTAATGTTAAGTAATGTTCCCTTTTGCCACCCCAACCCCCCCAATTCTGTGACATGTGTGACACTGTTGATGGGATGATTTCTTCCAAGGATCCCTGTCCCGCAGTGCCAAGCATAGAGGCAACCGAAGAGAACAACCTGCACCAAGCTGAATTCAGTGCACCCAAGTCCCTTCGTTCACGTTTTGCCCAACTGGGGATGGTTGCATTTAGCATGAATTAGTTTGAACTGGTGGTTCAAACTACCCCAACAACAAGTCACTTGGATCATCTTCCTAGGTGCGGACCATGCTTAAATATACCTTGATAATTGAAACTTGTTGAAACCACCCAGCAAAGAAGGGTATACACCCAACTCCACCACCTCCCATGATCTCTGGGAATTACCCTCCTGAAGATTCAGCCGGTACCCGACAAGTTGCTGTTCTTTGGGGTCCTACCGTTGCATCTTGGATTTCGATAGATTTCATATTTCAGGGCTGGTTCCCACAGTTCTCCACTCTCTCCAGCCCAGCAACACAAAGTGGCTCAAGTCCAACTTCAGATCTTTGGCCTCGAGGGCTGGAGCTGGGCTCGGTTTTGGGATATCTTGATTTTGCCATTGGAAATGGTGCAACATATTGAAACTGGGCCAGGCTGCCCAAATCCCAAGGAAAATCCACGCGCCCTTGGTCCAAATTCAAACAGGTCGATGGTCGTCTCTCTGATGTCACCCTGCACTGCCAAGTGGCGTTGTTGTGCAAGTGAAGCGTGCCATCCATCTTTGGCAAAAGCACTTGCTCCCTGTGTGCCAAGTCAGACCATGATTTGTGCAGCTCATGTTTAATTTGAATGGATGGATCGGGAAGGAGGAACCCATCTGAATATGGCATATGGCAAGCCTGACTTTTGTCAGCTGAGTGGCTCACTTTTGAGCAAAGGTACCCTCTAGTATCTCACCTAACCTGGATTGGGGAATATCCCTCTTTGAAATGATTAAGCCATTTACAGTAAATATATATATAATTTAATATTAGATGATCTTTAAGATTTTCCCAATAAATTTGCTAGTCTTATGTAGTTCTCCATCACGTTTTATTGCCTGAGAGTCACTTCATCCACATGATTCCACCCTGGTCTCAACTAGGATCCAAAAAACGAGCCGAGCCACAAGTGCTCCCGTTCCAAGTCTGCCATCAGGTGGTCGTCGAGAATTCCAGCCGCATGCCACAGACCCTTCACACTGCCCAGCTTGCCGGCCTGCGACATGGTTATGGGTCAAAACCCTGGTACCTAGTGAACCTCAAAATAACTAGTAAATAGATCTTCATCCCACTAAAATTGGTATCAATAGGTTTTGACCCACCTGCGACATTGGTCATGAGGCATCAGGCTGTGGTACGCAGTACGTACGTCTCGTCGTGGCACGTCGTGGTGAATCTGGAAAATCAACTGGAACGACTCGAAGAAAATTCATCTTTTGGTGATGGGTGTTAAGGTTACCTTTCTATAACTCTCTCCCAACTGAATCAAGAAGTTGTGTGAAAATTATGGGAAAGCCCCTAAAGAATCCCAGTGCGTATTTATCATGTTCCCAGTCAATATTGTAATTTGGGGGTATACTGCCCCTCATTTTTCGACAAACCCATACAATGCAACCACATCATCTTTGCTCCTAGTGGCCCAAGTCTACTAACTCTAATGTGGTTAAAATAAACAACAATAAACCACCCATTTATGGTGAAATTGGGGATGGTTCATTATTGTTTTGACCACATCCGGATGGTGATTTTGAGCCTCCGAACAACCATCTCGGCCATCCGGATGCGTGCCTGTTGCATCACATTCAGCACGTCCTCCTGCTTGGCGATGTCGCCCTTCAAGACCGAGACTTCAGCCAGTTTTTGAACCTGTCCAGCATGCGGCCAATGCTGTTCACAGGCCCAACGGAAAAAATGTTCTGCGGCGGATTCGGGTGGTTTTTTCAGAACAACAGTGGGCCCAAAATCCAAGCCGCAAGCCTTGTCAAAGAGGCCGTTGAGGGACTCATCTGTGACACGTCCGGAGCGTGACATGAGCGCCAAATGCCTCGCGGAAAGTGGGTTGGCGTTGGGAGCTGGCGACTCAACGGGCTGTTTTTAACAGGGGTGGGGCTTGGTGAAAACGATGCAGCAACAACAACACCATCACACAGCATTACCCTCTGATAATTTAACATAGCTATAGAAAATCACCATTTTTAATAGGTAAACCATCTATAAATGGCCCATTTTCCATAGCTATGTTAGTTTACCAGAGGGTACCATCGGAGTCACAATCACAACTATCACTCTCATTTTCATCGTCATACATACAGTAATACTCATGATACTCTTCATACTCCTCCTCCTCATACATACTCCCAAGAATGTCAACCACGGATTAACAAATCCTCAGTTTATTGATTTCAGGGGTCCCAAAAATCGTGACTTAAATGACTGTCATTTTTTGCAAAGCCAATGTCAGAAACCATCCCCAAGTCATCATGGGTTGTATACCCTCTGGTAAATTAACATAGCTATGGAAAATCACCATTATTAATGGGAAAATCCACTATAAATGGTCATTTTCAATAGCTATGTTAAATTACCAGAGGGTAAACCATCCCCAGTCATGGTAGGTTTCTAATTCGGTTGACCACTGGGGCTCCCGACGTGGCTCCACGTTCCGCCATCCAGGTAGCGAAGACCAGACCCAAGGCCCCCGTTCCGCCGCTCAGCACGTGGCAGCCCTGGTGATGTGATGACAATTTAAGGGATGAGACCCTATAAATACAGAGGTTTATAGCTGGGAAAATCCTCTATAAATTTGGGGATAGAACATCCATATCAAAAATGGAAATATGATACAACTCATTCTTCTAATATGATACTAAAGCTGATCCAATATCAAAGTATTGTATCAGAAAAGAAGTGATGCGAAAAAGTGGTGTGAATCATTTTGAAGTTTCGACATGCAGTGGGTTTCGCCGGATCTTGATCCAATAACTTGCCAGTGCCCAGAAGTGCTAGTGTACTGTATTGCTTGATTTCAGTCATTTAACTCTGCTTGTTCACCAAAATACTTAAGCAAATTTCGGTCACTTATCGCAGTATATCGCAAATTCTTCAACCACTCGTTGCCAACAACTCTGAACATATCTGCCCTCCAGTGTCATCAAACATTGCTAAGCTGGCAAATCCAGCTAAAAATAGATGTTTATAGCTGCGAACATCATGTATTTTTATCTGGGATTGTCGATTGCCATGGTTCTTGAGAACCAGAGGGTATCAAAAAGGTCTAAGATAACTACTATCATTCTGATTATTCGGTGATTGTAAATACTATGATAAATGGATACCTTTATGGACAATGGATCATCTATCCATTCATTAAATGAATGGAGAATAGGGTAAATGGATTAGACTCCCCATTTGGCATCATGAAATCCCATGAAAATCACAAAAAAATCCCCAGCCACTGGGCCAAACCCACAGCCTCGAAGCTGGCTTTCGTGGCCTCAGGCATCTGCCCGGTGGCATCCACCAAGCGCGGCGCCAGGGCGCTAGCCGTGCGCTGGGCCAGCTCGGGGTCGACGGAGCTCAAGGGCAGCAAAGACTGGAGCTGCTCCAACTGGCGGTGGTTTTTTGGGGGTGAAGGAAATGTGAAAATGGGAGTTTGACCCACCATTCATGGCCATTTATAGCCAGTTGAAGTGGGAAATGATGAATTGCCATCCAATTTCAGAAGGTTCCCATCATTTTTCAAAGCCAAGTCACTGGCTAAAGAAATGTTTGCAGGTTGAAGTGGGATTTGTTTGCTTGACTTAGTTCTTCTCCAGTTTTGATGGTTGAATCAGCCAATTTTTGGGTGGTTGCATCGGCCAGTTTGGGAATCAAAAGGAAATCACATTTGTTGAACCCTTATTGTATAAATACGTATGAATTGTTGATTGAGCTCTATTGAACCGCTGTTTGTCTTGTTGATGAATTCTCACCATGTTTTGTTGATCTCAGTGTTTCTTGCTGGTTCGAGCCCGCATATTGTCGTTACTGAAACCATGACACTGTAGGGCACCCAATTTTGCCGGTATGGCTACTTTGCATACACTGCAAAAGTCAACTAACAAACAATACCTGGGGATATTGTATATCCAACAATAGTATGGCTAGCCTCAAGGTACCAAGAAAGTTGGAGTCCAGGTTTAACTGGGCAGGACATATTTTCCGATAACATATATGAACATATCATATATATATATAATATAGTATGTAGATAAGCATGTGTATATATATACATATATTATATATATTAGTTTATATTTATATATTTATATATTTATATATTTATATATTTATATATTTATATATTTATATATTTATATATTTATATATTTATATATTTATATATTTATATATTTATATTTATATATTTATATATTTATATATTTATATATTTATATATTTATATATTTATATATTTATATATTTATATATTTATATATTTATATATTTATATATTTATATATTTATATATTTATATATTTATATATTTATATATTTATATATTTATACAGATGTCGACATGCATCCTTTTTTCCTCAGTACCAGTACCCCATCCAGCCGCCTCCAACTTCTCCACATCCATCACCGCCACCTTCAGATCCGGCCGCTCCGCACGCAGCGCGCGCGCCAGGCCCCAGATGGGCGCGGCCGTGGGCAGCTGCGAAAGGTCACCGGGGAGCACCGAGACTCCGGAGGCGGTCAGGAACCTGGGTGGGGTAAACGACTGGGAGGATTGGGTGTGGGTTGATGTGGGTTGATATGATTTAGCCTCTGGTAAATAAACAGTTGGACCCTGAAAATCGCCAATTTTGAATGGAAACTAATCTTCCAACCCCGATGACTGCCAGGGTCTATGTTAATTTACCAGAGGGTAACTATATTGTTATAGATGTTATAGTTTTATGTATGGCTGGAAGTCGATGATGGCTTCAGAATCGATTCATCATGTGTAGCCAATGGTGGGTTGGTTTACTTAGGAACAGATTTCCAATGGATTGTGATGGCCCCCAATAGATTATATCGTGTAACCCCATCTAACCAACCTGTCCAGATCAGACATAGGGTGTGCCCCTGCCCATCTGAAGATGATATGAATGCTGTTGAATACGGAATACCAGTAAATTGGCCACGTACTAGGACACATGATGATAAACCGGTGGATTTTACTGCACCCTGTTGTTTAACAAACCAGTTGGGTACACAATTGGGTATATAGTCTCTCAAATGGTTGAAGGAAAATGTATATAATTGCCCAACTTTAGTAAAATATAGCTGTTTAGCCACTTGAATGATAGTGGAAGTGAGGTTCAAACGGTAGTAGCTGGGCTATTTTTCCACTCTTTACCAGGAGTGTGAATAGATGTTTTGAGGGATGATTGGGTAGCGTAGACTCGTACAAGTACAATGTAGCTGGAAAATGTATATATAATATTTATATATATATATATAGTGGGCAATTGATGAATGGTGGACAAACCGATGAACAATGGCTGGCAGGTAGAAAAGTAAATCAGCAACGTGTTTTAGCCCTTGGAAACCATAGCTTCACCAAGGATGTGATCCACACAGCTAGTATCAGCGTCCGAACTTGGGTTTACCAGGTCTTGTCAAGTTGAAGTGTGGGCAAACCATGGCAAACTTGATTTCTTGGCCTTTATATATATATATATGAGCCCGGTCCCCGGACCCCCACACCCCCCCCTGTGATTTCTTTTTGTTTACGTGTCTACACAATGCTGTCATGCATGTTGACATGTACACCTAATTCATATCTTTCATGCGCACTCCGCATGGCTCAAGACTAGCAGAATCTTGCGTAGAAAAGAAGTGTAGTCGCCGCTGCTTGACTCAGGTGTTTGTACATAATCCAGGGCTCCCCTAATAGAGGGATAGCTACCTCAAAGTGGTAGCGGAGCCTGTGCCTTCGCCAAGTCTAGATCCGTGTGGCGAACTGCCGTTCTCTGCATACATTCCGTATATCGGACTTGCGGAGGCAACCTGTAGGTCAAGTTAGAGTAGCTGCCATGGTCTTAATCCATAACATGGATTCAGATGAAGAACAACTCCAGATTGTCTCGTATGAAGAGCCGGAAGCATTTGCCGCCGCCAGTCATTCCGAAAACCGGATGGGCATCAAAATGACACCGAAGGTTCCACCCCAATTTGATGGCCAATCAAGCTGGTTTGAATATGAAGATTTAATTGATGACTGGTTAGGGATCACAACATTGGATGCAGATAAACACGGACCATCATTAAAGAATGCCCTCATTGGTTCCGCTTCTTTTTATAAGTCGATGCTCGATAATGCCCTACTCCGAGATCCGGATCGCGGCCTCGCTCATTTCAAGGACACATTGAGACCATACTTCGTGAAGGGAGTAAATCATGTGTTCCTTTGGCGATTCCTCCAGATGTTTCGCACATATCGAGGCCAGAGCGAATTCGTGCACTGGATAGGGCGATTTGAGATCGCGCAGAAGCGTTTGTTGGCTTCTTGGTCCGATCTGCTGGACATATCCGATCTTCCCGATGCCGGCACACCGGCTTTCACGGCAGCACTCACAGATGAGCAAAGACTGCACTATAACCAGATAGCAGCAGATGAAGATAAGCTAGCTTATCAACAAGAGCTTAGAGAACAGACCATAACCAATAGAAGGACCAGACATGCACAGCAGTTTCCATTGTCAGACAATTTGATGTCACTGATTTTCTTAGTCCAAGCAGACCTCAACGAGCAACAACGTGAGCGTTTTGTCTCGTCAATGAACATCCGTCAGATAGCAATGCCACAGTATACCTATCTCCAAGTGAAACAGCTGTTCTTAGAACTTTTTGCCGTTTCTCGCACAGGTGTTGCAGACCCAAACATCACGCACCGCAAGCGGTCCAACTTCTACGTCATCGACGAGGGCGAGACCGAAGAAGGTGAGTACGGATTTTGGGTCTTTGATGAAGAGACGGGTGAAGAAGGTTTCACAGGTCTGTACACCGAGAACGAATTCTGGGTTCTCAGCGCCAAGGGTTCATACTCTAAGCGCCGCATCTACGGCAGGTCCTTCAAGAAAGGTAGACCAAAAGGTTATGGCAAGAAAGGAGGAAAGAAATCAAGACCCGGCTTCCGCTCGAGGTCAAAAGGCAAAGGTTTTGCAGCATGGGAAGATGACCAGCAAGACACAGCTTTCTGGGGAAAAGGCAAGGGCAAAGGTAAAAAGGGAAAGAAAGGAATGATGAAAGGAAAGGATTCTTTCAAAGGAATGCCTTCATGGAAAGGAAAAGGAAAAGGTGATGCGAAGAACAAAGGAGGAAACAATCCATTTTTGTCACAACCACCACAAGCTAATGTAGCACAGGCTGCAACATCCAGTGCATCACAAGCCCCTGAAAAGCAAGAAACAGCCCATGCCGAAGAAAGCTGGAGTTATGACTATGACACATACTGGACAGACGACTGGTCAGGTTATGAATCCTACTATGGATATGACGGAGATTATTCCCAAGGTGATTGGTACAATTGGTCATATTTTGCTTCCACTGAGGAACTGACCGAATCCGAGGACAAGCATTCAGACATCATTTTCGAGGACGGACAGACCGACAAGAACGACCGGTTCTGTTTTTCAGGCATCCGCTTGTTCCGATTGTTCGGACACGAACTTGTAGAGGCCCTCACATTCGTGCTTCTGTTCGTGTCTGTGATGTACCAGTGCTTTTCTGATTTGAACAGGTCCCTATTCAAGAGCATCCGCCAAGTTGAGAAGAGTGTTTCTACCGAAAACGGTGATCTGCATTCGTTTCAGCCGCGCACAAGCCCGCTCGATTCCGTCTCAACGGAAGAGTGTGTATTTCTCAATTATGATCATGGTGCCCAACAAGCATTACTTTGTGAATATGTAGATTTAGGTTCTCATCCGACTTATGTCATCCTTGACTCAGGTTGCACTCGAGCCATGGGATCCCGCTTTGCCATTGATCGCCTTGTACAGGCTTGCCATCAACATCCCAAGCGTGATCACATATGGTTTTCTAAGCAACCGTGTTCAAGTAAGTTTTCATTTGCCAATGGAGAACAATCTACTGTCAAGGAAAGGTTAGTGATTCATTTTCGTAATGATCGTGCACAAACTGGTTGGATCACAACATGCGTTGACATCCTGGACAAGGGTAAGGTTCCTATCCTCTTTTCAGTTGAACAAATGAGGAATCTTCGCATGAACATTGAACACGCTCCTGTAGGTGAGTTCATGACTTGTCCACTGTTTGGAATGCAGCGCACCGCATTGGCGGTCAGTACATCCAACCATCCAGTCCTTGACATTATGGCTCTTGCTACTTCTAGTTGGAAACCGATGTACAGCTTTCAGTCCGAAGACATCACATGCCCAGCATGCAATGGTAAACATCGACCACACACCAACAAAGAAGGTTGCAAGAGATTCAAGGGATCAAAGCCTAAGCCATCAGAGGTGCCGAAACCGGCCAAGCCTGATCCTAAGAAGATTGTCAAAAAGACAATTCAGCCTGATAGCAAGTTAGAAGTATCAGCTCAACCTTTTGATCCTGATGAAGAGCCAATGGTGGCCTCTGGGCCAAGTTCCGATTCAAAGGACGGTATCCCAAGACGTCGGGAACCTCAGATTGAAGAAGAAACTGAAGTCAAACCGGAACCCAAGGTTGAAGTAAAACTTGAAGAGAAAAAGGAACCATCACCTAAGGGAACTTTGTCACTTGCACTTCAGAGAATTCATGATAAGCTTCAATCACCCACTGAACTTCTCAAGTTACATTTGAAGCATTATCACATGACCACTGAACAATTCAAGAGAAGAACATCGGCTCTGAAGTTACCAAAAGAAATTTATGACAAGTTTGATCAGATTACCAAATCATGTGACACATGTTCCACTGCCAGGATTGCACCATTGAGAGCTAAGGTTTCAGGAATCCGAAGTGAAGTCTTTGGTGAACTTACTTTCATTGATCATGGAGAAGTTCCTATCAATCCTCAGTCAAAACTTCAATTCCTACTTATGTATGACGGTGCAACTTCTTTGACTACTGCCTTTGTAGTTCAAAACAGATCTGATACGGTGACGATTTCTCATCTTCAAGAATACTTTGAAACTTATCAGCTGAATCCAAAATACATTGTTGCAGATCAAGCTTTCATGGGCACTGAGATGGAGAGTTATTATAACCGGCACAGCATCAGGCCAATCTCTCTAGGACCAGGAACACCATGGCCAAATCGAGCTGAAGCAGCCATTCGCATGTTTAAGAAACAGGTCTCATTAATGCTAATTTCCTTGAGAGATGATCCATTGCTTGCCAACATTACTTATAAACAGTTGTTGAGACAAGCCTGCATTTCAAGGAACACCATGGTAACACTCGGTGGTGCCACTCCTATTGAATTAGCATTTGGCAGAAGACCTGCCGATCTTACGGCGATTGAGCTCATGAATCCAGCACAGCTCACGACTGAGGCCCCTGCTCCTGAGAGACAGATTGAAGCACTAAGGTCACTGGCGATGCGAAAGTTTCTAGAGGCAAAACAATCTGATGACCTTCGAAGAGATATTGCAAGTAAACTTCAACTTAGTGATGGACCATTCTTTCCTGGAGATAAAGTTTTCTATTGGACCGAAGACAAATCAAAAATCAAATCAGACGGTTCTCATGGAGGAAAATGGATAAAAGGAAA